GCTCCCGAGGTGAGTTGCTCTGGCGCTTGCATTGGCTCATCCATGTGAAGTGGCCGATTTGAGATGCTCTGAGCAGTAGGATTACACTTGGCTCTGTCCTTGCACCGTGGACAGAAAGCAAGTAGGGCCTCCTGCTTTCCTTCGTGTTTTATCTTAAAGGCATAACCAGTATTTTTGGCCAAGTTCATAGAGTTAGTTTCAAAGAAAACACAAACAGACTCAATGTAGATAAGCATGTTTACCTGACCCCTGGTCCAAGTTTCAAAAATCGTTTGGCAAGTGAAAAAATGAAGTTATTTGTAGATAATTAAATTAGATAACATTTTTGGCCATAACATCTCTTCTTGATTTTTCAGCCCCAGTAAGTTTCCCATCCATTCATTCAGCAAATCCTTAGTTAGTGTCTACTGTGTGCAAGCTTTGGGCATGCAGTAGTGGGCAGACCGGGCAAAGTCCCCACTCTTCTGGGGCTGACTTTTCTCTCTCTCTCTCTCTCTCTCTCTCTCTCTCTCGCTCTTTTTAAAAAATTTTCAGAGTGGGAGGACGAGGGAGAAAGAGATAGAAACAGAAATGATGAGAGAGCATCATTGATTGGTCACCTCCTGCGCGCCCCACACTGGGGATCAAACCTGCAACCAGGGCATTTGTCCCAAGTTGGGAATCAAACCATGACCTCCTAGTTCATAGGTCGATGCTTAACCACTGAGCCACACCGGCCAGGCTTGACTTCTCTTTACCGAAGACCCTGGCCTCCCTGTAGTCTGGCCACCCGACCTCCAAAGCTCTCACTTCCTCTCCCGCCCTCCAACCATGTCATCCTCAGGTATTGTGAACATGGGTTCTAGAATGTCTCTTCCCTTCATACACCTTTACTTCTATTTGACTTGTCTATTTAACTTCTCATTTCTCCTCACTGTCCTCTGTCTGAGTGACGTTTTCTGTTCTGTAGAGACATTTTCTTGTCACTCCACCCAAGAGAGATGTTCTGTAAGGTTCGTTATCTTCTGAGCTGATGGATTTGCAGCTGGCGTTATGTGGTAATCACCAGAAATGCCGGAAGCCCCAGCCCAACTAGAATCTCCTACCTCAGCAAGAGTTCAAGTGCTGTATTTTTATTTTATCTTTTTATTGATTTCAGAGAGAAAGGGAGAGACAGAGAGAGATAGAAACATCAGTGATCAGAGAGAATCATGGATCAGCTGCCTCCTGCATGTCCCCTACTGGGGATGGAGCCCACAACCCGGGCATGTGCCCTGACCAGGAATCAAACAGTGACCTCCTGGTTCCTAGGTCAACACTCAACCAGTGAGCCAAATTGGCCGGGCAAGTGCTGTATTTTTAGTACTTCACAAAAATGTTGCTTCAGACAGTGATCAACTTGCGGCCCAGATGGGTTTTTTTCTTCATTCCCAAGGTCAGATTTAATGGTGTTCATCCGAGAAAGTGGCTCAGCAGGCTTCCCTCCCCCTGTTTGGTTCTGTATCCATGAGGTCAGAAACTAATGACTCAGAAGAACCTACATGAGTTAGAGTGTCTTCCTGCAGACGACTGGCAGCTGGCGTTGAAAATAGGGTTTAGACATTTCACAATAATAGCAGGTGGGAAAACACAGCTGGGCCGTGATGCCACGTCTGTCACTGACACTTCCCTAAATAGAGAGAAATCAATGCAAGCATTTTTCTTGTCAATATTTTAAAAATAGCTTTAAATTTTTTATATTGATAAAAAGTACAAGTGATGGGAAAAGGGAAGTTTGAGTAACTGATGAAAAAAAGAAGTGAATAAATCTCTGCTTCCAAGAGAATACCAAGCAGAGAGACTGAGGAGCTGTTAACTGAGTTGACAATTTTTCAGGTGCCAGAAAGGCCTAGAGTTCAGCCAAAGAAATGAAGATGAGAGATGGGCTGCAAGTTGCATGTGGGAGTCAAACTGTCCAGAAAGTGACTGAGTCACAGGAAACCGCCCCCCCCCCGCCCCCCCTCCAGCGACAGATTCATTGTTGCAAAGGCTCAGATTTTTTTAAAGAGCAGTAATGTGTGGGTTTTTGGAAAAATATATGTTTTTATATATTTTTAGAGAGAGAGGAAAGGAGAGTGATAGAAACATCAATACTCAGAGAGAATCATGGATCGGCTGCCTCCTGCACGCCCCCTTCTGGGGATGAGCCCTGAGCAGGAATTGAACCTGTGACCTCCTGATTCATGGGTCGACGGTCAACCACTGGGCCACGCCGGCTGGGCCATGGATTTTTTTAATGCAGGTATCTCTCTATTTCAGTCCTTTCTAATTCTTTCTCCATCTGGATATTGTTGAAGTATTGCAATACTTAGACAGTTAACATAGCAGGAAGGTATCATTCCGCTCACCGTGTCAGTCATGGGTTTTGCACCCGACCCAGCATCTTTCTGAGGCTGTATCATGGAGGCCGCAGCCTCTTTTACACTGAACGACAAGAACAAAACGCCTTCAGTTAGCAGTAACTATGAGGGCCACTGTCAGATTTGAAATTTAGAGCCGGGTCAGGAATGGGGGAGGAAGAGAAGAAAAGGGACAAATGGGTACCCTGTGTCAGCAAGATGAGATCAGAGGCTAAACAGGGAGAAATGACAGATGCTGCAGGCTGCCAGCCCCTCCTCAGTTATCCCAGGGCGTTCCTGCTTCTCCAGTATCCTGTAGGAGAAAATCCTAGTCCAGGCACTTCTGCTAAATGTAAGGTTCAGGCAGCTGAACTGAGCTGTCAGTTTCAATCAAGAAGGTTGGGAAACACTAGGTGGCTCAGTGGTTGAGCATTGATCTCTGAACCAGGAGGTCATGGTTCAATTCCCGGTCCCAGGCACATGCTCAATCCCCAGTGTGGGGCGTGCAGGAGGCAGCGGATCAGTGATTCTCTCTCATCATTGATGTTGCTCTCTCTCCCTCTCCCTTCCTCTCAGAAATCAATAAAAAAAAGATACATATTAAAAAAAGGTGGGGAAACGAACACTAGGTGTGTCAGCCAGTGCTCTTGGTCGTAGGCAACCGTGTCCACCTCTTACCATCAAAACAACGGACTTGATTGGCAGTGACTCACAGCGTGGAAGGAGGGTGGTGGGCCAGACGTGGATGACTAGAAACAAGGAGATCAGGAAGGCCAGCAGGCGGAGAGACAGCTGTACTTTTTAGTAGCTGCTGCCGCTGGACAGCGCTGTTGGCCCCAGACTCAAGAGTCCTGAGAACAGCATCCAACTGGCCAAGCCGAGGCATCCCAGGCCGGCCGCCAGCAGATGGGGAACGGTCCACCCTGGCTTGGACAGTGGGAAAGATCATCTCCCTGCTACTGTGAGGGCCGGGTGCTGGCTTCCCCCACATGGCACTTCCGGTGTGCGGGGGCCAGAAAGGTGACTCGAGCGGATGCCAGAGGCAGCGGCAGGGGCCTGTGGCCGTGCGACAGGAGAGGTTTTCATTTTGATGAAGTCCAACTTACCTGTTTTATATTTGTCGTTTTGCTTTTGGTGTCCTACACAAGAAGGCTTTGCCTAACCCAGGGATGGGGAACGTTCGGCCCACGGGTCAGATAAGGCCCGAGAAGTTATTTGGTTTGGCCCTGCCAAGGCAACTGCAGGAGGGACTCAAAATTAAATAAATCTAGGAGCTGTTTTCCTAGCAACATAAATTTATAGTAGTGAATTATATTAAGCAAATGATGTTAGAAATATCCAAATGGCCCTTGGCAGAGAAAAGGTTCCCTACCCCTGGCCTAACCCAGGGTCACTGAGATCTCCTTTAGAATCTTCTACTAGTTCTATAACTTTAGTCCTCATGTTCAGGGCTGGGGTTCATTTTGCATTGGTTTTTAACTCTTTTGAAGCAGCAACCATGGATGTTCAGTGGCAGCTCGTGAAGAAAAAGTGAATAATGAAGATTTCCTTATTTTCTCAATTTGAACGGCATTAGGGGCCCACCCTCAACTTCTGAATTCTTTCCGTGTCTATTTCCCTTTCAATGTGTTTGGCTATTGGGTATTGAAGTTACTATGGCTCTCAACACATCCTGATTCATTGCTCACATGTGGTGCGCAGGGCATTATTCAGAGCAGCGACTCCTACATAATCACCGTAAGCTATTCATTTAACTCTTTAATCAGAACGATAAAGTTTAGCTATTCATTTATTCACTGAATTATCGATGTTGTAGTGAATATAAATGAACAAGTATTTATATTTGATTGGACAAATTCACCTGTCCTGCCTGGAATCATATTTTAGGAGTGAGCAAACTTTTATATAGCAATTATTATAACAGCATAAAAAAAAAAAAAAACCTTTCCCAGCTGGTGTGTCTCAGTGATTGAGTGTCAAGCTATGAACCAGGAGATCATGGTTTGATTCCCAGTCAGGACACATCCCTGGGTGGCAGGCTTGATCCCCAGTAGGGGGCGTGCAGGAGGCAGCCGATCCATGATTCTCTCTCATCATTGATGTTTCTCTCTCTCTCCCTCTCCCTTCCTCTCTGAGATCAAGAAAAATATACTTAAAGAAATACTTGTTGGCATGGACTAATTGGAACGAATTATAATATGAAGTAAAATGTGCTTGTTCTGTATCTGCTGGAGAAGTTCTTAGGACGCTAGTGAAGATTTACTCATATTTGGAGCTTTCGTGGTGTTGACCTTTGGCATGTTAAAGTTGTAGAGGTTATTTTTCATACCATAGAATCATGCAAGAGGAAGGTGCCTGCCCATAAGAGTAACATGTTGTACAGAAAGTATGAACAGTGCTGTGTTAAACTTCAGTTTGCCCACCACGGCCAAAATGGTTCTGACGGTATAGGCAGAGCAGTTCTTGTTGACTGCAATGAAGAGGTGTGCAACCCATCGCGCAATAATATTCTGTTGTTACCTTCTCCCCCACCCCACCCCATCCCAGAACTGTGTGGTTTAGGCATTTTGAGCCCAGGTTCTCATTGTTATCTCAGCTTTATTTGTCTTGCAGATCTAATGTGTTCTTTTCCTGTCTCTGTAGAATGTTTCAGACATTTAAAGACTGGTTTTGGTTGGAAAGATTCTGGCTCCCTCCAGCAATAAAGTGGTCAGACCTCGAAGATCACGATGGACTCGTCTTTGTAAAACCCTCTCATCTGTACATGACCATCCCATATGCCTTCGGCTTGCTGATTATCCGGCATTTCTTTGAAAAGTAAGTATTGCTTGTGTGTCTTTCCTTCCCATGCCCCTGCCTGGTCCCAGCTGTAGAAGAAGAGAGTCCTGGTAAGATCCTTGAAGAATCTGCTGTTCGGAGGTGCAGATCCTGGGAGGCCGTGCACGAAATCAGTGCACACCACCTGTTATCTAGGAGCCGAACAAGTAAAATGAGAAACAGGTGCTTTAGTTGCACAGCGAGACAGTGGAGGCCGAGAGGTTAAGTATCACAGAGCTTATCAGTGCCAGTGGCAGCGTGGGAACTCGGCTCACGTTCCCTGCAGGTCTGTGACAAAGGACACGCACCCCAGAAAGGCAGTGCTAGAGAGCTGTGTTGAGAGGGTGCATTATCATTTCCAAATGCCTACAGAATAGCAAATATGGCTCCTTAAAGAGCAAACTTCATCTTGCCTTATTGCAGCGTTTATTTTAAAGGTTTATTGAAAGCTTTAATAGCTGGCCTTCCTTCCAGGGTATAAGGAAATCAAAGAAAAAAGTAGAAATTTGCTTTGTCAGGAAAAGCAAACTTCTTTTCTTTCTCTTAATTTAAATAGATATTACTTCCAGCCTTCTTATTAAAACTGCACTAGTGTCATGATAACAGGAGATAAATGTCCATTTGTAATCTCTGTAGCTGTCTCTGTTTCAAAAACCTGTTATTAGCACATTATTTTTTTGGAGCAAAAAGAATATTTGAATGTCAAGAGTTGGAAAAACTTAAGACGAAATCTGATGAAGATCATGTTGTCCAAGACTAACCGTAATGCAGATCATATGTGCATAACCATTTGCAGGGTGCTTATCTCGAGCGTTAGTTTGACCAGCTCTGTTTCAGGGACCGCCCCAAAGGTTTCCGTACAAACAGCAACTTCCCGTGGGCCCACTATGTGCTTGCTGTTGGGAGGCACCACGAAACCCCAGCTGAGAACAGCTGAAAAGGTGCCTCCTTTTTGACAGTGGATCCTGCTTTTTCCTAGATGTTTGGATTTCCCAGGAATGCACACATAAATAAAGTAGGGTTTCGCCCCTACCTACCACATCAGCCAATGACTCCTCCCTGGTCTGAAGCCTCACTTGCCTGGTGCTCTCCGCATCTGGCACCCAGGTCCTCTGCCTATTTGCATTGCAGATTTCCTACCTTTTTGGGTGGACAGCTCCATTTTTTATGTTTTGATCGGGACAGAGAACTAGAAAATTCTTTCGGTTGCCAATGCAGCGCAGCTGTGGGGGACCAACTTGTTCGTCTTGGTCTTGGCCTCGCCAACAACAATTAGGAAGGAATCCAATCCTCTGTTAATTCCCAGGACCATTTTTCTTGCCTCTCAAGGGACCGAGTCAAGTCAGCATCACCTTTATAACTTTAACTCCCAGGAACTCACCCGGAGCTCCTTCTGTTCTGTGACGCTGCAGAGCACTGAGTGTTCTACTCGTCTCATCGCTCTTCAAGCACTGGCAGTAAGGAAAGGTTAACATGGGAGAGAAAGCATATTTAAAAGCATATATATATCTCGATTTCAGAGAGAAAGGGAAAGGAGAGAGATAGAAACATCAATGAGAATCTTTGATCAGCTGCCTCCCGCACATCCCCTACTGGAGATCAAGCCCATGACCTCCTGGTTCATAGGTCGCTGTTCAACCACTGAGCCACGCCAGCTGGATGAAAGCATGCTTTTAAAAAAATATATATTTTATTGATTTTTCACAGAGAGGAAGGGAGAGGGATAGAGAGTTAGAAACATCGATGAGAGAGAAACATTGATCAGCTGCCTCCTGCACACTGCCTACTGGGGATGTGCCCGCAACCAAGGTACATGCCCTTGGCTGGAATCGAACCTGGGACCCTTCAGTCCACAGGTCAACGCTCTATCTACTGAGCCAAACCGGTTAGGGCCAAAAGCATGCTTTTTGAAAAATAAGTTATATTTTTTCCCAGGGCTTCTATATCGTTTGTATTAGATTAAACCACTTATATCATAAATAAAATATTACTGACACCTTGAATTTGAATAGAAACTTATAGTTTAAGAGGTACATAAAATCACTAATGGTATCATCTCAGTGGAGAAAATGAGAGGTACGTGACCCGGCCAAGGTGAAACAGGAAGTATGGAAGGAGGAGATTGGGCCTTGAACCCTCTTGTTATAACATGAGGTTTAGGGTTGTTGGTTTTTTATTTTCCCCATAACTTCTTGGACTTGCACAAGGAACTACCCCTGATGGTCAAAAAGAGTAAATTATTATCTCTTAAGAATACAGAAGACATAGCCTCAAGGGATGATCGCAAATGTGAAATTTTCTGTACTCTCTTAAAAATTCATGTAGCCCTAGCTGGTATGGGTCAGTGGTTAGATTGTCGGCTGGCAAACTGAAAGGTCCAGGTTCAGTTCTGGTCAAGGGCACATACTTTGGTTGTAGGCTGGATCCCAAGCCCTGGTCAGGGCCTGTGCAGGAGGCAACCAATCGATGTGTCTCTCTCACATTGATGTTTCTCTCTCTCTCTGTCTCTCCCCCTCCCTTTCACTCTCTCTAAAAAGCAATGGGACAATATCCTCAGGTGAGGATTAACAACAAAAAGAAATTCATGTAAATTGGACACTGCGTTTCAGCATATCCTGTGTTTACCGTGAGTAGGCTTCCTTCTGTTGTCCTAGGAATTGTGACCAGGACTGGTGGTTTGGCTGCTCATTTTTACCCGGTAGTACCAGCCAGGAGCCACTGAACACCAGGAAGTGGCGCCCCTCCCTTTTCTGGCTGTAGAGAGCCAAGTGGAGACAGAGCTGGTAAAGGACAAACAAGTCGATCATGTGAAAGTGACGGACATTTGCCTTGTATTTTAGGATTTCCTTTCCTTACAAATGTTAGCTTGTGGCTTATGGTTGATTTTGTGTGTGTGTGTGTGTGTGTGTGTGTGTGTGTCTGTGTATGTGTGTGTGTCTGGAATTGCAGTTTCTAACTAGTGTATCCAGACTCTCTGCATTTATGTGTCTCAAGTGTGATGTAAAGGGATCTGAGCTACTCAAATTTAAACACTTGTGGAATAAACATATTATCTCAGAGTAAATTATGTTCCCAGAATAGTCCAAGGCAGGGGTGGAGCTGGGAAAACCAGAGGTCATCGCTTTCCTTTCACTTAGTTGTGCAGTGAATGGATTCCCCACCTTGATCACGTCTACTCGGCAGCACAGGGCACCGTGGGACAGCAACCCCATCATTCCTTAAGGAAGGGTGGGTGCAGCAGTCTACAGGAGTTCAGGAAGGATTGCTAGCCCGGCCGGTGTGGCTCAGTGGTTGAGCATCTACCTAGGAACCAGGAGGTCAGGGTTGGATTCCTGTCAGGGCACATGCCCGGGTTGCAGGCTTGACCCCAAGTAGGGGGCGTGCAGGAGGCAGCCAATCCATGATTCTCTCTCATCATTGATGTTTCTCTCTCTTTCCCTCTCCCTTCCTCTCTGAAATCAATAAAAAAAAATATATTGTTTTAAAAAAAGATTACTACTGTTCTCATTGCAGCGGTCTCTAAATTGGCACCTTAGACTTCAGTGTTATGAAGTTGCCTTGGTCCCGGTATTCTGTTTTCTCAGATGAAACCCCCTGACCAAACTCTGGCCAGAGAGCCTTCAGATCCTCAGGAGCCGGGAGGCGATCCCATGCCCGTGGGCTATTGCTCCTGTTTAGGGGAAGCATTTAAGCCTCATCTGCTTACTATCTGCCTAGGCCTGCCTGCCTTTTGTTCAATAAAATAGTATTGAAAAGAGGGGGGACCTCTGGGATTGCAAGGCTTTTGGCTCACAGGTAACCCAGGCCGTGCCAGGTAAAGAGGGGGCCGTTGGGGTGTCTGCATGGGGCCGTCTGAAGGCTGGGTTCTGTAATAATAGCAAACCTAAGAGACCCTCTCCTGGCAGCTAACCTCGCTCTGAACCATTTACATGGGAGCAGAAGTCCACGATGTTTTTTTTTTTCCTCTTGGACTTTTTTCTACTCCATATCAATAAAGTGCAAGTTCAGGCAAGCCTGGACATGTTAAAAAAAACAAGGCCGTATTTCTCTTGTTTAAATTAATATAGATATGTTTCTCATATCACCAAGTATGCTATGGATGTGTGTTTATCCACTGTGTATACTTATCCACATACTTACTCTCACATGACCCTTCGGAGGGAATGTTACACTCATCTGGCTTTGAGATTGGCTGTATTCCCTCACCACATAAGTCTTCTTGGCTCAATTCTGCTTTGCTTTTTCATTTTTTTCTGATTTCCTCATTTCTAACATTCGAGGAGATAGCACTGAGTGATTCTGATGGAGAACACTACCGTATTAAACCGTTTTGTATCTGTGTTATTCTAGTAAAAACAATGAGTTTCTTCTCCAGTAACAATTCTCCACTTGTAGGTTGGATAAATGAACCAATTCCACTGTTTATCCAAAACCCTGTCAGATATATTTTTTGAGACTTTGTTAGTTTTAAGAACACATTAGTTTTTGTTTTATCTGGACCTTTTGTGCAAAGGGGGAGATAATTAATCATATTTCCCTAATCATGGCATGCTGTCTTTTGTCTGTGTCAAGTAAGACCTCTTTTGGTTGATTGATTGGAATTAACTTTTTCACTAATTACCGTTTATCCTCAGCTCCCAGTCCCATTCCCCTCCCTGCTGGGTTTTCACGTTTGTCGATGGCTTTTCGTTTGTATGACCCCATGAAACACGTGCGTGAACATAAACTGTCCGCATTGCTGGCTGACACGCGGCACGGCGATGAGCCCTTCCTCTGCTGCTCCGTTTTCTGAGGATGGCGCCGTGCTTTGTGACGTGGCCACACCGCTCTGTGTGCATCTGGCGCATCATTCGTTCGTGTTCCTCTGTCTCTGACACGTATGGGCCCTTTCCAGGAGCGCTTAGTCCATCTGGAAGTTGGACTGGTTTGTACATTTTATCAGATTATCCTAGGAGATTTTTATTCAACTCCTATGGTTGTAAAAAAAATGAATTGAAGGGCTAAGTGATCATTCATAACCAGAACTTCCAGCATTTCATCAAACACAGAAACTCCGCAGTAAGTATAAGCATAGATGGACCTGGCAGAAGATGGAGCCTTTGTTAGAACTGAAGGAAGAATTGGGATCTATTATTATTTGTAAAAAATTAGTTTTATTGAGATATGATTTATATAACAAAAGTTCATCCAAAATTTGATGCATTTTGACAAATGTATACAGTCATGTAACCATCACCACAGTTATGACTTCGGAGATTTTTATCAGCCCCAAAACTTCCCAGTACCCCGTTTAGTTAGCCTCTTCCCTAAATACTAGCTCCTGGCAATCACTGACATGCTTCTGTCCATATAATTTTGCCTTTCCTGGATTTCCTATAAATGGAATCCTATGGATTATAATCTTTTGTGTCTGACTTGTTTTTACTTAGCACAGTGGTTTGAGATGTTTGCTGACGTTATTATATGTACGTACAGTGATTCCTTGTCATTGCTGAGCAGTCTCAGTGTATGGCTACACCACAGTTAATCTGTCCTCTAGCTAGTTGATGGAAATGTGGCCATTTCCACTTTTTGGCTGTTACAGATAAAGCTGCTGTGAACATGTGAGTACGAGGATTTGTGTGGGTATATGCTTTTTTCCTTTTGGTAAATAGCTAAAGTATCTGCTCTTCAGAAGACGTTATTAATGTTTGTATTTCTGTATAATAGATTATTAGAGAACAAGAAAAAGGAATGAACTCTGAACACATCCAAAAACTGGATGGACCTGAAAACCACTAGGCCAGGTGAAGGAAGCCAGACATGAGCAACCACATGTTGTATGAGTACATTGTATTTAGTATCCAGAAAAGTCAAACTCTAAAGACAAATCAGTGATTGAAAGACAGGGTAGTGGTGAGAGAAAACAGGGATTAACAGTAAACATGCATGAGGAGTCATATCGGGGTGAAGAAAATATTCTAAAGCTGACTCATGGTGACGAGTGCACAACTTGGTAAATTTTCTTTAAAAAAAAAAAACAAAATCACTGAATAGTAGCCCAGCCAGCGTGGCTCAGTGATTGAGCGTCAATCCATGAACCAGAAGGTGACGGTTTGATTCTTGATCAGGGCACATGCCCGGGTTGCAGGCTCCATTCCCAGTAGGGGGCGTGCAGGAGGCAGCTGATCGATGATTCTCTGTGATTATTGATATTTCTATCTCTCTCCCTCTCCCTTCTTCTCTGAAATCAATAAAAATATATTAAAAAAAAACAAAAAGAAAAAAAAAGACTGGCAATACCAGCTGTTGGCAGGAATAGGGAGTAACTGGAATTCTGGCACGTTATTGGATGGGATGCAAAAATGGTACAACCACTTCAGCAAACAGTGTGCCAGTTTCTCATAAAGTTAAATAACATACTTGGTGCACCACCCAGCAACCGCATTCTTAGACCTTTACCCAAGAGTATGACATTTTCTCAAGTTAGAACTTTAAAAAGGAACATAGTAATTTCTGTAAGATAATATCACCAAATAAAACTTTTAATCTCAAAATATTTATTTTAATCTCTGGGAATCTTAAGAAAGCTCTAAGTGGATGGCTTATCCGAATTCCTGGCTCTTTTGTATGAATATATCTGAATTTACATAAAATGGACTTTAGGGAACTGTGCCGGTATTTTATTTTTCAAGATACTGCTTGCATAAAAGGTTTCCAAATTTGTTCTCCTTGAACTTAAGGCAGATAGCTGTCGGCCGTGGGTAATCCATTGACAACACGAACCAGTGACTGAGCTTTCATTTGGAATCCAAAGTCGCCACCTGAGTTCTCTGGTGTCATTGTGCCTTCATTATCAGAGTTTGAACTGTCTTTCATTTGTTTGTAGATTTGTCGCCACACCTCTCGCAAAGACTTTCGGTATTAAAGAGGAAGTTCGGAAGGTTATACCGAACGCGGTCTTAGAGACTTTTTACAAACGCTCTACGAGCAAACCATCTGAAGTAAGTTCACATTCTTTTTGGGGGATTTTAACACCTTCTTTCATAATGTTTCTGTCATCTGGAGCTTCCCTCGTCTGTGCAAGAAATTGGTTCCAGTTAACTGGCGAATGGTTTGGTCCATTTGAATTTTTTCTCTATTGATAGGTTTTATAGCATTCCAAGCATAGTATAAAATGGCAAATAAATATCTATATATATAAAAGGCTAATATGCTAAGTGTCCATCCATCCGGTACTATGATGCGCACTGAATACCAGGGGCAGACACTCAATGCAGTAGCTATCATGACGTGCACTGGCCATTTACAGAGAAACGGCACCGCAGACCTGGAGCCCACAAAGCAACACTTGGCTTCCCCCAAGTGGGACAGAGGCCCCGCCATGACCCCAGAGCGACACCCCACCAAATCGCAGCCGACGCTGCTGAGACGCCATGGCGCAACATGCGGTCCACAGCCCAGCCCAGCCCAGAAACAGTTGCTGTGGGCGCTGGGCAATGACGTCACATAGCAACGCCCAGTCTTCTCTCTCTAGCGACAATTAGCATCCTTGCAGTTTCTTCAGCCCAGGAACACGACTTGCTTCATAGCCAGGTGCAAAAATTTCACACTTTAACCAAATGTCTGTGAAGCATTTTCCCGTGCCTCATCTCATTTGATCCTCGCAGAAGTCTTGGAGTAGGTAGATAGGAGACTCAGTGGAATCCTATTTTCATTTCATTAGCTGGAAAACTCAGATTTAGAAAGCTTAGAAACTTGACCCGACTGAAAAGTAAGAAATGGTGGACCTTGAAAATGACTTCAGTTTTGTCACTGTGCAGAATATAGTCAGACACTGCTGCAGTTAAATATTTTACCCTTTGTTCTCCCTGCGTGATCTACAATAATAACCTGCTTCGTGTTGATATTTACTGCTGTGTTGCTGACAATTACCTGAAAGAGAAGTTGGGGTGCTTCAGTGGGCTTGGAAAAAGTTTAGCTAAATCAGAAAGCAGGTCTAATTAAGCAAATTTTTCTATGTATATAAAGCTCTCACTGGCGCTAATCACATGCATGTGTTTTGATCTGTCATTGTTGATTGTGAATTTAGTTGACACTTCCGTTATAGAGAAAGGGCAAATAGTGATATTAAACTATTCTAATTAATTTCCTTTCAATGTGCATGAATTCATGCACTGGGCCACTAGTTATAAAATAACAAATGTGAATAGCTGGACTATTGTGTACAACTCTTATGTTGAACACTTATAATTAATGCCATAACTTGAGTATAAAGATCAAAATTTCATTTTTAATGGTAGGATATAGACAATATTTACTGCTTAAAAAAAGATCACTATGAAGATAAAGGAGCCCGTAGCTGACAATTTTGATGATTGTGGCACCATCAATATTCATTCTTTATGAACCTGTCCATTGTGGTGGCTTTTGTGTGAAGGACACTTTATTTTATCCAAGGCCTCAACACACACAGAAATCTGTTGTGCCCCTGCCTGCTCCCTAGAGGTAGAATTTTTAAGAGTCAAAATTCTTTACACGATGCAGGATGTCCTCGAAATGTAGTGTACTACATGTTTATGTACCAGAGAAGAAGTTTTTAATCTGATAGTTTAAAAACGATAGTGTCCCGGCAGGTCTAGATTCTTATATATATGGAAACAGCATCGATGAGAGAAATTCATTGATCGGCTGCCTCCTGCACGCCCCCTGATTGTTTTAGGGATTAGGTCGTCCTTTTCTTCATGACCCAGGTGAGGAAGCTAAGGCCTCATAGGAAGAAATGGGATGTCCAAGGTCGTGTAGCTGAGTGACCTTGGCTGAATCTGGAGCGGGAACCTGGCCCCTGCCCCCCCCCCTCCCCCGTCCAGCACTGTTCCCGTGATGCCCACGTGTCTTCTTTCCCTGTGAATAGAATATTGAAAGTGTGTTTCAGAGGCTGGGACACCTGGAGTACTTGTTGTAACTCAGGTCACACACAGTGTGGACATTTGCATCACCCTCAAACCAAGAAGAAAAATGAAGGAAAATAATTAAGATTTCTAACTTCTATTGCTTGTGGATTACAAGATCGAGGCAATATTTGCAAAGCAGATCAAGATAACAAGTTGTCCAAAAAGTGCCCATACATTAAAAGCACTGGAACGTGGGAAGACAGGAAATCATAGGGGAAGGCGAGGTACATGACTTCCTAGTGATCTCAGATGTGGAAACAAAATAATCTCGTTATACCTCCCATAGTAACTTGGCCGGGGTCATACCAATAGCATTTTGTCTGTATTTTGTCATACACATAGCCATAAATTTGGCTTAGGTAAGACACGTTGCTGGGAGAACTAAAAAAAAACACCCCAAAATTGTGCTGCTTCGAGATCTGGGTATTACCTCTAAGGAAGTTTTCCCAAGCTGTCACGGCAGAAACCGCAGCGGTGACACATGTGGACAACACATGACTCCCTGACACAGCTGAGTGCGTGGAGCTGAGGGTGCTCCTGCAGCTGTTCTCTGCGGCCTCGATAGAAGCAGAAGTATTCAGTGTGCACAGCGCCGACTCCGGCTGGTTAGCACAGGAGGGTATACAACATGGTATTGATGAGGCCCCAAACGCTGTGCACATCCGCTTCCCATGAGGTTCTGCGCTATGATTTCGCACCATTCTTTTGGGGCTGTGTATGTGCAGCTGCGAGTTCATTATTTATGCATATGTTTACGTCTCTCTATATATATCTCAGTAATAACTTCAAGATGTATTGGGAGTGAGCCCTGGTAACAGCCCAACGGCCCTGGCCAACAGATCAATTATTCTGCTATTGATAAAATGGAGCAACAGCAGAATTTAGGGTCTAGCCCAGCCTTAGGCAAACTACGGCCCACGGGCCAGATCCGGCCTGTTTGAAATGAATAAAATTAAAAAAAAAAAAGACCGTACCCTTTTATGTAATGATGTTTACTGTGAATTTATATTAGTTCACACAAACACTCCATCCATGCTTTTGTTCCGGCCCTCCGGTCCAGTTTAAGAACCCATTGTGGCCCTGGAGTCAAAAAGTTTGCCCACCCCTGGTCTAGCCCATTCCCCCCCCACCCCCCCAGAAGCCGCAGCGAGAACTGATGCAGGGAAAGCAAGTGTGTCGCTTGGAGCAGCTCTGATGAGCACGTGGCCCCGAGAGACGGACAGAAAGCCACTCACTGAGGTTCATGAAGGGATTGCAGTTTGCTCGCCTGTCTCAGCCTTAGATTCAGACTTTTCAGAGCAAAGCACTCTCTCGTTCTGCTGGTGTCACAGGCGAGCACGTGAGAGCCAAAGAGGTGGGGCCATCCTCCGCTCTCCTGGAGGGTTGGCTGGTAGGGGAGGAGCCGGGTCTCCTGGCCCCCACGCAGGCCTCTCCTCCCGGCCACGCTGCTTCTCCCCGAGGCTCTTCTGGCGTCGGAGCTAAACACACAGGCTGTGAGGACAGACTGCGGCCTAGACCAGTGATGGCGAACCTATGACACGCGTGTCAGAGGTGACACACGAACTCATTTTTTTGGTTGATTTTTCTTTGTTAAATGGCATTTAAATATATAAAATAAATATCAAAAATAGAAGTCTTTGTTTTACTATGGTTGCAAATATCAAAAAATTTCTATATGTGACACGGCACCAGAGTTAAGTTAGGGTTTTTCAAAATGCTGGCACGCCGAGCGCAGAAGGTTCGCCATCACTGGTGTAGACCATGGCTCTGCTGCAGGCGGGGCGTGGAGCTGGGCAGATGAGCCACTCTGTGCCTCAGTTTCCCCCTCTGTGAATTGAACATGATGATAACATTGCTGATCTCACAGGGTTCTCCTCCTGAGGATTGAATTATTTTTTATGTTTTTTTAAAAAATTGATTTTAGAGAGAGAGGAAGGGAGAGAGAGAGAGAGAGAGATAGAAACAGAAACATCAGTGATGACAGAGTCATTGATCAGCTGCCTCCTGCACGCCCTTTACTGGGGATCGAGCCCACAACCCAGGCATGTGCCTTGACGGGGAATCGAACCGCCACCTTTTGGTTCTTGGGTCGATGCTTAACCACTGAGCCTCACCAGCCGGGAGTATTTCTTGCACTCACATTGGAAAATGAAAGATCAAGAAAGCTAGTGCTTAAAAAAAAAAAAGAAGCTTATTTCCTTGTGGAAGTGGAGAGTAGAGTGGGTTTCTCACACAGCTGGTGTGGAGAGAATGCGACTCTGACACAGACCCGATCGGCTCAGTCACTTCTGTTTCTGGCCTAGCCTGTGAGAGCTTCAGGTCTGTGACCTCAGAGCTAATCCATTATCCATATCGGGCCCAATGTTCAGTCATAGCCTGCAGCTTCTGCCCAGAAGAGAAGCAGCCATCATTTTTATATGCTGCCAGCACTGCTTTGATGATTGGAATTCTTTCAGCTCGGTTTGAATTAGGCTCTGCATCTGATTCAGTGTGAGAGTGACAGCCAGCACCTGTGCGAGCTGCTCCTGCGTTGTCTTCGGGAGCTGTTCGACCATGTAAAGTCACAGAATATGCAGCAGCCCAAGTTCTAGTCCTCACTTGGCTACTGGCTTTCCGTCTCGCATTTACTTAAACTCTGTGTTCCAGTTTCCTCACCGGAAACATGAAGAGATTGGGTTGGATCGGCACGTGAAGCTACTCCTCTGCCTGGTCCCGAGGACGCGCGAATAACGTTGGGCTGAACGAGCTCGCTCGCTATGCAGCCTGAACATATAGATGTGTTGCTACTAACTTACGGAGAATTGATCTCTCTCTGTAACTTAAGAGTTGTGGGGTACTAACATTCTCTATGGCTTTGGGGGGCATGGTGTGTGTGTGTGTGTGTGTGTGTGTGTGTGTGTGTGTGTGTGTGATCCATAAACAAAAGAGGTAAATTCTCTGGCTCGAGTTCGAAAGCTGAGTCGCTCTCCTCTCCAGTGCACCAGCTCTCGTAATCCAATCGCACTGTTTCTTGACTGCCTGCCGGTCTGAACCTGCTCTTCATCACTCACTCACTCGTTTCATCCCTTTCAGGATGATGTTTACGGCCTGGCAAAGAAGTGCAACCTGACGGAGCGCCAGGTTGAAAGATGGTTTCGGGGTCGGCGGAATCAGGACAGGCCTTGCAGGATGAAGAAATTCCAGGAGGCTTGGTAAGAAGGACAGTCCCAGCTTCTGAAGTGCTACAATTTTAAAAAAAATATTTATATTTTTATTGATTTCAAAGAGGAAGGGAGAGGGAGAGAGAGAGAAACATCAATGATGAGAGAGAATCACTGATCAGCTGCCTCCTGCACGTCCCCTACTAGGGATCAAGCCCGCAACCCAGGCATGTGCCCTGACTGGGAATCGAACCGCGACCTCCTGGTTCCTAGTTCAATGCTCAACCACTGAACCGCGCTGGCCGGGTGAACCCTATTTTTTTCTCTATCGAAACAATCCTGGAAGACAAGCTGTTGTTCAACTTATGTGACCATGTTCTCCAGACCTGTACACCATCCTTTTAGTGCTTGGCTGTGTGACCTGGGAAAACCCCAGTGTCTCAGCTCCACAGTGGGAACATACCCATATTCCTCTTTCTTAATATGTGTGGGCGGGTTGATGAAAGCTCTGTGAGGCATTATACAAATGGAAGGAACAAATGTCATTTTTAATATTCCGTTGTTGCTTCAGCAGTCATTAGCTAAAATAGCCGTAATTAAAAGAATTTACTCTGCAACGCTATCAACATACAAATTGTAGAAAAAAGATTGGCATAATGAATAGGGTATGCCATGTCTCCATCACCAACCCTAATAGCTCTCAACCGGGCCATCCTGTGTCACCTCTGCTCCGCCCACTCCTCCCATCACAGATATTTTTGTGGGTTGATTTTTTTACTTTTACTGAGATATAGTGACATACAGCACTGTATACAGCTACGCATACAGTATAATGACTTGGCTTACATATATGGTGAAATGACTGCCGCGGGTTTAGTTTATATCCTTCATTTCATGGAGAGAAAAAGGAAAAAGAAAGTATTTTCCTTGTGAGGAGAACTTTTAGGATCTACTCTCAGAAACTTCCAAATATTCCATACAGTAGTGTTAAGTATAGTCACCATATTATATATCATATCACTGGCGCTTCCTGATCTTATACCTAAAAGTTGCTACCTTTTGACTGCTTTCCTTCAATTATGGCTGAAGATCACTTCTGAAGTAAATTTCAGACGTCGTATAATTTCATTAGTAAGTATTTTAATACATATCTCTAAAAGATACATACCACAGTAACTTTAAACATAATTGCAATACCAGTGTCATACCTTAAACAATTTATTTCATAATAGCAAATATTCAGTGTGTTCATTTTTTCCTTACCTGACTCAGATCTCCTCGACAGTTTAGTTTATTCGAATCAGGATCTAAATAAGACCCATGCCTTACAGTTGGGTTGTGTCTTTTTAAGTCTCTTAATTTCTAGGTCTTTCTCCATCATGACAAAAAGGTAATCTTTGAAAATATGCTTTTCCAAGGCAATACTAAAAGGTCGGGCCACATAGAAACCTTGTTACTGGGAATTAAATGGAGATAAAAGAAATGATTTGATAATACTTACATCAAACCATCATTTATTGTGTGTCAGGAAGTAGGCTAAGCAAATAATAATAATAATAATAATAATAATAATAATAATAACAACAACACAACTGCCTCTTATTGGTGCTTACTTCCTACTAGACACTATGATCTGTATTTTTCATAAATTATTTTCAATTCTTTTTACCTTTTGAGGCAAGTTTTGTTTCCATTTTACAAGTGAAGAAGGTGGGCTCCCTGCGCTTAAAACTGACCTAAAGTTGCGGCCATCTAAGTGGCAGAGTCTCGCGATAACGTAGATGGATCTGACTCCAGAACACTCGTGCTTTCTGCCGCACCAGATGTGTCCCCCTCCAATGTCCACCTCCCTTACCAGACTCTCCTTTCTGTTGGCAGCTGGCGATTTGCATTTTACTTAGTGATTACTGTGGCTGGGATCGCGTTTCTTTATGATGTAAGTTGTCTTTTTTATATTTTTGGTTGGAACTTGTCTTTAATTTTTAAAATCCCTGCCCTTGATTTCCTTAGGATCTAGAGCTTTCCACGAGATAGTAGCTCATAGCCCTCTCACCCCTCTGAGGCCTGAGGAGTGGCCATTTCTAGCCTGTCTTCCAGCGCCTTCATTGAACTGAGCATCTGCCAAGTTCATCTTTAACCCAGTCTCTCCCTGTTTCCACTTGGGCAACTCATGCACCCACTAAACTGAACCCTGACAATCACAGAACATGCCTGGCATGTCCCCACTTAGGGATTTTAGCACATTTCCCCTCTGCCAGGAATGTCCTGCCCTTCCCATCTCTCTACCTGTCCAACTCCAACCAGCCTCAGAGCAAATGCCACTTGCCCCATGAAGACTTTCCCTACTGGTCCATCGGAAACCAAATCTCTCCCTACCATTATGTAAACAATGACTAAGCGATTGTAAACGGAATAGTCCATTGTTTGTAGAAAGTGAAAGACAGGCAGCTTTTAGAGACTGCTCTCAGGCTGCTCTCAACTTCTCTTAAGATACTTTATTGCTCCAGCTTATCTGATTGCTACAGAAGCAGTCATGGATTTGGTTCGGAAATCATTCTGTTAGAAGAGGCATCGTTGGAAATGCTCTGTGAGTCCGGACTGGTTTTGGTCCCACATTCACTAGTCCAGGGTGTTGAATAGCCACGTGTGTGGATACCTCCTGAGGAAGAGACGTGCAGCGGGATGCAAAAGTGCATCTTTCTGCGCTGCCTGCCCCTGTCAGTGACATCAGGAGGAGCTTGCGTTTTCTGCTGAAGCCAGCCTTTGATTCTGACAAACTTTTTTCCCCCCAGAAACCTTGGGTATATGACCTCGGGGAGGTGTGGAATGGCTATCCCAGACAGGTAAGGACCTCTGATGCAGTCCCCCACTGCTTCAGCCCTCAGACCCCCGATACTGTCCCCCCTGCATCAGGCCTGCGCCCCTGTCCTGCTCTGTCCACGTCTCTGCAGGCCTTTTTCTCCTCTGTTGGAGAAGGAGAAAAATCCTAACTTACCCATCATGTGTCTCATTCTATTAGTGTGTATACAGTCATTATGTGTTTTGAGTTTAAATTTACCATCTTGCTATTTTATCTTCTATTTATACTACCTTATGCTTTTCCCTTTTTTTTTTTGTTTTCTCTTCTTACATTTTTATGGGACAATCAAGTTTTAAAAAATGATTATTCCACTTCTTCCCTTATATAGCTTTTCAGTTATGCATACTTTATTATTTTAGTAATTATCCTAAAGATTACCATATACATCCTTGAATTATTAGAATGAATGCAGATTCGGGTTCCTGGGGAATGTTATATCAATAGGTATAAGCAGTAGTTTTAGCCTTAAAATGAGTTACATGGCATTAAAGTGAATACTCTCCTTTTTCTCAGCCCTTGCTGCCATCCCAGTACTGGTACTACATCCTGGAGATGAGTTTTTATTGTTCTCTCTTACTCAGCCTGGGCTCTGATGTGAAGAGGAAGGTAAGTGTCTCACAAAGTTACTTTATTCATTATTTTTCCAAAGTTTTTATCCCCGGCCCCAAATCTTAATCTTTAAATTGTATTTTATATGTGTTAAGTTCTGGTTCATAGTTTTGTTTTTTGGTTTTTTTTTTTGCTTTTTATAGCACATAGAATAGTGCAAATTTTATTCATACTTTGGTGCCTAGGTAAGTATTTGTAGTGGAACATTATATAAACGTTAACACTGAAGCTAATCAAATCATTTACTCAAGAAATAGAATTGAAAAAAATCATTTATGTATTTTTGTACACACACACACACACACACACACACACACACACTCAGGTAGGTTGATCCTGTAATGATTCTGTCTTTTTTTCATTTCTTGAAGCAATAAAACCTTTTATTTTTTTAGTCGTTGATTTTTCTTTATCATGTACAAGGTGCATTGAGTACTTTTTAAAAAATGAAGTGTAGAGATATGTCATATGTTTGTAAACACATACCTTCAGAGACATAAAACGGTTAGGAGTTGGGTAAAGCTCAGACTCTGGGGTCAGATTGCTGGGGTTTGCATCCTCGCTTGACCCTCACTAACATCTTGAGCTAGATGGTTAAACCCCCCAGCCCTGATCTCCTTGTCTATAGCACGGAGCGGAAAAGAGTTCCTATCTGCTCTGCTTGCCGTGGGGATTAAGAAAGTTACACCACATGAAGCACTTCCTGGTATACAGTAAGTGCTCAATAAATTAGGCTATTATTATCGTCGTGTTTAGTCCCTTACTTTGGCCACAAGGAAACTTAAATCTTTTAAGTTTTTTTTAAAAAGCACATTTTTGAAATATTCACATACCATACAATTCACCCATCTAAAGCGCATAATTCAGTGGTTTTGAGTCTAGTCACAGAGTTCTGCCGTCGTCACCACAGTCAAATTTGAGAACGTTTTCATCACCTCAGAATAAATTACTCCAGCGGTCAGTTCCCATTTGTTTTAACTCCCATGGCCCCGGGCAATCACTCGTCTGCTTCTTGTCTCTATGGATTTGTCTCTTCTGGACATTTCATATAAATGGAGTCACACAATATGTGTTCTTTTTGTATCTGACTTCTTTTACTTTAAAGCGTAGTCTTTGCAAAGTTTATTCATGTTGTAGCACGCGTCAGTATTTCATTTCTTTTTTTTTAATAGTCCTTGTATGGATATGCTGCATTTTGTTCATCCACTTATCAGTTGATGGGTATTTGGGCTGTTCCCACCCTTTTGGCTTTTATGAACAAAGCTGCCATGAACATTCAGATACAAAATTTTGCACGGACATATGTTCTTATTTCTCTCGGGCACATACCTCAGAGTGGAATTGCTGGGCTCGGCGGTAATTCTATGGTTAACCTTTTAGGGAACTGCCCGGCTACTCAACAAAGCAGCCACCACTAAGAGCGATTTGCAAGGGTTGCAATCTCTCCACATTCTTGTCAACACCTATTGTTGGTCTTTTCTGTTACAGCTGTCCTGGTGGGTGTGACGTAGGATCTCCTGGGGCCTTGATTTGCATTGTCCTGATGGTTAATGAGGTTGAGCACATTTTTGTGGACTTAGTGGCTATTAGTACATCTTCGCTGCAGAAAACCTTTGTGTTTTTATGCTCAATTGTGGTACCTTTCTTAGCCTGGGTTTGCTAGTGTCGGTTATTCCACTTTTATTTGTTATCTCTTTCATATGCAACACCTCTTATTTCATTTGTTGTGTAGTGTTTGTTATATGTCTGTTTTCCTTTTTGGAATTAGACGCGGAATAAACAATACGTATAAATGTACACAAGAATATGGTTGTGTGTGTGTGTGTGTGTGTGTGTGTGTGTGTACACATTTACCCAGCGTGGGGCTGTGGGAGAAACAGCAGATGTCAGGACTTAGATGACAGATGACAGGTGATCTCTCAAAGTAAATTACTTTATCAGTGAGGATAATTCTTGTCCTATCTCCCTCACAAGGATTATGTTTAGAATTAAAGTGAAAGTATTTTACAAATTTTAAAACATGCAGATGTTGTTAGTTTTTAAATCACCATCGTCATCATCATCATTAGTTCTTCCAGTGTTGGGAACTAATTGCACTTTCTTAATGGTTTCCACTTCCCCTCCTTCTGTAGGATTTTTTTGCTCATGTCATCCACCACCTGGCCGCTCTCAGCCTGATGAGCTTCTCCTGGTGCGCTAACTACATCCGCAGTGGGACCCTGGTGATGATTGTGCACGACGTGGCCGACATTTGGCTGGAGGTAAACGCTCACCATTAACACACTGGTAACAACAGGACGTCCTTGGCTTCGGTACCCTCACAGGAAGAAGCGTGTGTGAGGGTCCAGCAGGGCTGTGTGTCCTAAAAACAGCCACAGTCCACAGATGACTCTGGGTCCCCAGATCTTCAAGCTCAAAGAAACAAAACTTTTATTTTTATTTTTAAAATATATTTTTGTTGATTTCAGAGAGGAAGGGAGGGAGAGAGAGAGAAACATCAATGATGAGAGAGAATCATGGATCGGCTGCCTCCTGCACGCCCCCTACTGGGGATTGAGCCCACAACCCAGGCATGTGCCCTGAGTAGTAATCGAATGGTGACCTCCCAGTTCATTGGTTGATGCTCAACCATTGAGCCACACTGGCCAGGCTGTTGTAGGATCTTGTCCTTCTAGATCTGGGTTCAGCAAACTTTTTGGTAAAGAGCCAGATAGAAATCTAGCGTTGTGCACCACATAGAATCTCTTGTCACATATTCTTATTTTTTCCTTTTTGTTTTTCTGTTCTTATTCTCCTTTAAAAATGCGAAAACCATGCTTAACTCAAGAGCTGACCAGGGTTAGCCTGTAGACCGGACTGTAATTTGCCAAACCCTGTTCCAGACGTAACCAGAAGCCATTTCAAAGCAACTGTCTACTATTAAAATATGAGCTGTGTAGAACACTTTGTTTCTTGTATGTAATCATTATTAGCCATGTAAATCCCAGTCTGAAGGTCAAGATGATTACATTCCCTTCAGGGCAGCAGTCGGCTTAGCCAAAGGCTTGTGCCTGGGTTTCTTTTCCACTTGCTACCCCCTGAACGTGGCCGTCACGGCTGTAATCACCCCGCTCTCTGATCCTGTCTCAGTAACTTGCCTGAGTGTGACCACATTGGCTGGGACCTAAGGACTTTATGCTACCCTGTTGCTTCTAAACCCTCCAGTTCAGCGGGCTTTGCTGTGTGTCCACTAGGAAAACAGATTCATTGTGTTATTTAAAGGGACTTAGACATTGGAGGTGAACATAAGCCCAAGGTTGTCCCTGCCAGACCTCCCTCCCCCCATCCTGTCAATGACACCAGACAACTCCTTAGGCAACCAGGCTTTCCATCCTTAGCTGTAACAGAAGACCTACCTGACCCTTAAGTATGTTGTAAAGTTGAGCTCATTGCTGTTAGATGTTCTGAGGACCTTCGGTAAAAAACACAGCAAAATAGCCATAGCTGGTTTGGCTCAGTGGCTAACAGACTGAAAGGTCGCAGGTTCAGTTCAGTTAAGGGCATGTACTTCGGTTGTAGGCTCGATCCCCAGCCCTGGTTGGGGCATGTGTGGGAAGCAACCAATCAGTGTGTCTCGCTCACATCGATGTTTCTCTCTCTCTCTCTCTCTCCCCCACCCTTCCACTCTCTCTAAAAAAAAAATCAATGGAAAAAATATCCTCGGGTGAGGATTAACAAAAAAACCCCACACATAAGTTATCAATATCGCAAATCTTGTTTCATCTGTTTCCCCACTCACACTCCACCTTTCCCCCTGATTGTTTGGAAGCAAATCCCAGACACTATATCATTTATAAATGTCTAATTTTAGAAATGTGTACTAATATTTTATCTGAACACCATTTTTTTTCTTTGTTTTCAGTCTGCGAAGATGTTTTCTTACGCTGGATGGAAGCAAACTTGCAATACCCTGTTCTTCATCTTTTCCGCCATATTTTTCATCAGCCGCCTCATCATTTTCCCCTTCTGGTGAGTAGACGGTGCCCTGCGGTCAGCCCCCGCGCCAAGGCAGCCTGGCACGTTGGTCAAGTCGGAGCATTGTCCTTTCTTTCCTTCATCTCCAGTTACTTGTGCCAAGTTCAGGGGGAGAAAGAACATGAAGAGACCCTTTTCACATAATCAAAGCAGTGCCGCCGGCGGGTGTGGTTCAGTGGTTGAGCTTCGACCCATGAACCAGGAGGTCACAGTTCGATTCCCGGTCAGGGCACATGCCCGGGTTGTGGGCTTGATCCCCAGCGTGGGGCATGCCCGAGGCAGCCGATCCACGATTCTCTCTCATTACTGATGTTTCTATCTCCCTCTCTCTTCCTCTCTGAAATTAATACACACACACACACACACACACACACACACACACACATATAACAAAAAAACTAACGCCTCCCTCTGTGGAAGAGACTCATGACAAAGGGAGGTGGGAACTGTGTGACGGGCGGGCGGGCGCACCTCCGCCTCTCGGTCCTGCCCATGAATGTGGGTCTTTCTTGTGAGGAACGGCTTTTCCAGTTACTCCAGTGAAGTGTCCGTGGCCGGCTCTTTAAAGGAGAGGCTTGTTCCGTGTGAAAATTATAGTGATTATAACCACCAGTAATTGCAGGCCAGCCCCTGGGTTAGGCCCTCTGTGTGTCTTGGCACTAGTCAGCACAACAGATACGCCCGCTGTCAGGGCTCCCGGCTCCCAGGTGAGGAGAGTGAGACTCTTTTCCTTCTCCACGGTCACTGGGCCCAACAGTGGTTTGCGTGTCCTTTCGATGCTGATGGGCTCTTGATCCCAGGGCTGGCAGTGGAGAACCTGTGTCTTCCCTGACAGCCATTCCTTTGGCCAGAAGCTTCACTCTCCCTGTGTGGGTTGACAGAAACCAGGAGAAAAGTGGGAGGCAGCCTTGGATGGCTTGGAAGGAACAGGTTATCACCAAGCAGGGTCTGGGGGCTAGTCTAGGAGTTTCAGTCCTCTCAGCAGGAAATGTAGTGCTACTGGAGATCCGCAGTTCCAGGGGTAAGAGCCGGAGCCAGGGTAAGGCCGGATTCCCGGGGGCTGGACTGCACCCCTGACTAGCGTCCAGGGAAGTCTGGGCAGAGGACAGGGCGCGGCCCTCCTATGGGAGCAGCTGCATTCTTTTTATTTTTCATTTTTAATTGATTTCAGAGACAAAAGGAGAGGGAGGGAGAGAGAGAGAGAGACACATCAATGATGAGAGAGAATTATTGATTGGCTGCCTCCCGCACACCCCTTACTGGGGATCAACCCCACAACCCGGGCATGTGTCCTGACCAGGAATCGAACCACCACCTCCTGGTTCTTAGGTTGATGCTCTACCACTGAGCCACGCCAGCTGGGCACATCTGCATTCTTTAAACCAGGACTGCATGTCTTGATTAGACATTTTCTGGCCGGGAGAGGCAGAGTGCAGTGGTTAAGTTCATGGATGCCAGGCAGTCCTGAGTTCAAATCCTGGCTCTATACTTACTGCCTGTGTGATCGTGAATAGGTTAGATCATTTATCTGCACCTCTGTTTCATCTGTAAAATGGAAATAAGGGTCGACATGAGGCTTAGCTGAAATAATACATACAAAATAGTTTTGAGCAGTGTCTGTGACATACTATCAGTAAATGCCAACTATTAGTACAAAAATGATGAATGAGTCTTGTAGACTTTGGAGTTTAATCTGGAATCAAATCTGAGATCCAGGCTTGTTCTGTTCTTCTTGGTTGATGAATCGCATTGCTGTCACTTGGCTTTGGCGGAGCAAGTGTGCTTGTGAAATCAGAAGATTGCACGATAGTAATTAATGAGGGGATGAATAGTGACTTGCAGATAACCGTTGAGCTGTGGCTTTTCAGTGTGAATTTCATGGTACCCTACGTCCAGGGTTTGCCCATCGCTGACTCCTGTTATGGTCCACGTGTCCCAGCTATCTGTATCCACATAACAAACCTTCTGAAAATGCAGTGGCTTAAGACAGCGGTGAGCAAACGTCTCCTTAAAGGACCATGGAATAACGATTTTAAGCCTGTGAGGGCCACATATGGTCTCTGTTGCATACTTTTCTTTGTATTGTTTTGTTTCTTTTAAAATGTGCCAAACCCAGCTTAGCTCACAGGCTGTAGAAAATGGGTCGCAGGCCAGATTTTGCCCACAGTTCATAGTTTGCAGACCTCACTCTTAAAAGTACAACGTTTATTGATTATTATTATCGCTATGGTTCTGGGAATTGACCGGCCTCAGCTACGTGGTTTGCATCCATGTGGTTACAGGCAGATGGTGGCTGGGAAGTCAGCTGAGGTTTTCTTGAAGGCTCCCTTACCCACATGGTAGAGGTAACACATACAAGCAATGTGGATGCTGATGGTTGGTTAGGGCTGCAGCTGGGCCGTCAGATGGAGCAGCTACACATGGCCCCTCCCTTGGCCTGACCTCCTCATAGCTCAAGAGAGATTGAGGCAGTTCAGCCAATGTGGCTCAGTGGTTGAGCATCGACCCATGAACCAAAGAGCTCATGGTTCGATTCCTGGTCAGGGCACATGCCTGGGTTGCAGGCTCGATCCCTAGTGTGGGGCATGCAGGAGGCAGCGGATCCATTATTCTCTCTCGTCATTGATGTTTCCATCTCTCTCCCCCTCTCCCTTCCTCTCTGAAACCAATAAAAACATATTTTTAAAAATAAAGAGAGAGTGAGGCAGATGCTGTCTCTTACAACCTCGCTTCAGAGGTCACACCACGTCAATTCCAGCCGCGTTTTCTACAGTGGGTCCACGTCAGGGAGTCCGGCTCATATGAAAGGGAAGGAAAATGAGTCTCCATTTCTTGATGGGAGCAGTTTCAAAGAATTTGCGGATGTATTTCACAAGCAAGCCCCAGGGAACACGTCAGTCTGGGGAGCTCTTTGAGGGCCTCTAGTATTGTGCTGTGGTTGGCTTTTGATTTAGCAACAAAGGACGCTCCCCTCGCACTTTCCCATGATGTCTCAGAATCAACACACAAGCGTCCTCTTCCCCAGGCAACAGCTGGCCATAGTGCTGGGGTTGCGTGACTGTGGAGGTGGCGAGTTGCTTTCCCACACATTCTTGACTTCAAAAATCCCACGTCGAGAACTCATTCCCATGCCTGCATTTCTGGATTTCAAGGAGAATTAGTCACATGCATTTGGCATGGTCTTGACCTTGGCACTCCAGTGAGGTCAGAGAGCTGTCTTCAGGGAGTTAGAGATCGCAAGTCAACCAGTCTTAACAGACTTGACTGTAATCATCTCTTTCGCTGGTAAAGGTTTTTCTCTGCTGATGTTGACGGATGTGCGTTGTCTGGAGGTGGAAGGAAACCTCACCGAGTATTGGACGTTTGGGAGAAGGGCTCGCAATGCTTTTGGAAAGAATCCATTGCAGTGCCTTGCGCTCCAGCTTAAATCGTTCTCCCAAAAGTTTGAACATGCCGCTCAATCGCTCTGTGATGCCAAAGAGGAAAAGCGAGTCCCCGTTGTTGCCTGTTCCAACCGTCTGTCCCGGCCCTGTCCCTCCGCACACTCCTTGCAAGGCTGTTTTAGGAGTCCAGATCGGCTGGGGTTTTCCACGGAGCGAACCATGTGCAGAGGGGAGACGACTTAGGGTTCAGACGTTTCAGAGCTGCGGTGGGAGGCAGTGGGCAGCTCCGTTGCTCTCGTCTTTCCAAACGCCTTTGTTGCACCCTTGGGGGTGAGCTCAAAGGTTGATCAGGGAGAAAGCAGACCCATGTGACATTTTTCTGGAAGCTTCGCGGGAAAGGACTGGCGCTTGCACATTACACTTGTCTCCCTTTCTTTGGCTTTTCCTGGATTTCCCCCAGCCGTGAGCACATGCGCTTTCCCTGGGGAGTTTCCTTTGGCGTTTGTACCACGGGGTCGCCTCTCCTGCTCTTCACGGGGTTTTACTCAGCTCATTCCCAGTCACGGGCAGCAAGAGTGAGTGACATGGATTTTCTAAACATGTTGCTCTCGACATTAGGCAGAAATTCCAATTGGCACTGTCCAAATTGCTTTAATCCAATTGCCTGGTTACCCCATTTGTTTGCATGTTTACTCAGAAGTGTTTAAACCTCAGGCTTATGTTTTTAAAAAATATATACTTTTATTGATTTTAGAGAGGAAGGGAGAGGGAGAGAGACACAGAAACATCAATGATGAGAGAGAAGCATTGATCTGCCTCCTGCACACCCCCTACTGGGGATGGAACCTGCAATCTGGGCGTGTGCCCTGAGCTGGACTCGAACTGTGACCCTCCTGGTTCATGGGTTGATGCTCAACCACTGAGCCACACCAGCTGGGCTAAAGACTATTAATACGGACCATTTTCTAAAAATTTTTTTTTACAAAAACAAACAAAATCATCTCCAACTGTGAATAATACTCAGCTCCTTAGCTCCCAGGGCGGACATGCTTGTGGAACCTTATTGTTCACCCCTGGCCTGTGGGCGTCAGGTGGCCCCCTGGGACGCTTCCCACGAAAGGGTTTCTGTGGGTGATGAGAACATGGAAATGCTTGGAATGGCGACGAGAGAGAGGACCGTTTTAAGGAAAGAAAAGACCAGGCTGCGCTGAAGGCACCCAGCAGGGCTCTGGCCGACGTGCATCAGAAGGTGCTGACTGAATGACACGTCAGGGGCAGAGCCAGGTCTCCTGGGCTGGGCTCGGTTTCCAGGACCCTGCTGGGGTGCCCGGGGAGGGTGGGGGGGCCTGGGCGCCGGGGAAGGAGGGGCTGTGCAGGGCGAGAAGGCTCCGTGGCAGTCGGCGCTCCCCAGCCGCAGCTGCAGATGCGTATCTCGGAACCAGACTTTCCGGTGCCGCCCTCGGGGAGCAGACAGTGCGTTGCCCGCGTGTTTGTTCAGGGTCTCTCTGGGCAGTGTGCCCTGGCAGTGCTCCCGCCCTGACCCGACGTGCCGGCCACCCCCGCTGTGTGTCCTGTGTAAGGGCCAGCACAGCCTCTTCCTCGTGTCCTAGCATCTTAGGCTGTGGGGCCTCAGTCCCAGTGTAGCCTGGCTCCCTCCTGCCTCTATTGCTTTAGAAATGATGTCAAGCTTCCCAGACAAGTTCCAGTTTGTCCTAGAGGACTCTCACTGTGCTCTGTCCCCAATTTACTGGTTAGTGTTTGTCCTGCTTGCTTCGTCATTCCTTCTCTCTCAACACCCACACACACACACACACACACACACACACACACACGTTTTTCCGAACCATTTGAAAGTTGCAAACTTCATATCCTTTTACACTTAAATACGTCTGTATTATTTCTTAGAACAAGGACATTCTAATTTTTTAAAAATAAGTTTTTATCGAATTCTGTGCAGCTATTGCATAGGATGGTAGCGATTGGCAAACTATAGCTCACAGGCCAAATCTAGCCCACAAACTGTTTTGGTTAATAAAGTTTTATTGGCACACAGCCACACCCACTGATTGATGAATTTATTGCCGATGGCGGCTTTACCACTGCGGTAGTGGAATTGAGTGGTTGCAACAGAGACCAAATAGCCCAGGGGCCTGAAATACTGGCTATCTGCTGCTTTATCAAGTGTTTTGTGGCCCCCGGTATGTAGATTATGTTCATGGACACGGACAACTCTGTAACATGTTACTGAGTGATAAAAGCGGGTACAAAAATCAGATGAGTAGTGCGATCCCTCTTCTATAAAAACGTGGTAATGGGGAAGGGGGAGGGGGAAACACCTTTATTGTTTTTAGGAAAAATATCTTAAATTAGATTCACCGAAACGTACTAGGTCACCCGTGAGTTGTGAGATTTTCGGTGATTTTTACTTAACCTCTTTATATTTTTCTGTAATTCCTAAGCTTAAAAAATATTTGCATAAATAAAATGGGTAAGTGGCTGTTATCTCTGCTCTGCAGAGGGGGGGATAGATGAACCGTGGTGTGTCCATGAAGTGGAAGACCACTCGGTAATAAAAAGAACATGCTATTGAGACCCAGGTCAACTTGGGTGAATCCCAGAGGCACTGTGCGGGGCCAGAGAGGGCAGACGCAAAGCTGCCTCACTGTGCTCCCATTTGTGTGGCCTTGAGAAGATAAAATTAAAGGGACGGAGGGCAGATGAGTGGTTGCCAGTCTTAGGCATGGGGAGGCCGTGACTACGCGGGGACAGCACAAGGGGTAGGGGGTGATGGAACTGTCGGTACCCTAATGGTGGTGGTCACACAAATCTGTGCTACATTATAATTCCTAGAACACACCAAAAATAGTTAATTTTGCTATGTGTTAATTTAAAAAATAACATAGATATGTATGGGATAAAATTGAGGGATCGTACACAAAAATTACAGTGCTGTTTGTTTAAAATTATGGGCAACTTTCCTGTTTTATTTATTTTCCTACTTCATAGGGATAAGTTATGGTTATAATTAGAATATAATACTTACAAACAAACCTGTGCCAGAACTCTACGATGTCGTGTGTGAGGCCTGGGAAGGGACTCGCTGGCCCGTCATGCTGCAGTGGCACCTGGAGGTGCCGCGTGTTAGGGTCGTCGAGGGCAGTTCACACTGTGTCCAGGAGTCTGTTTATGAAATCCGTGCAGTACGCAGCTCCCTTTAGGACGTGGGAGGAGCAATAGAATTGTTGCTTCTTTCAGAGCCTCTTTTATCTGGAAAATTGACTTTTGTAGAATTCCCCATTCACCTTTGACGCCAAATAAATGAGACTATATCGTAAGGTGGTAATAACCCCATCTAGCCGCGCATGATCTTGTTTGTTCTCAGTCTGGGAGGGGGAGTAGGGTCCGGGACGCTCTCCTGTTTGCAAAGAGGAGACCGAGGCACCAGCGCATCGGAGCGCGGGCTGGGAGGCGATAGACATCCCATCGGCGCTACCTTTCCTCCCCGGAGGCAGACGCGCTTTTTGTGGCTCGCCAGTAATGATAGAAAAGGTAATGCTGTCCACTGTTTTCTACTGAGAATCTCCTGGACGTCATGGAGATGAAATCAGTGTTGTGTGCCTTGGGAGAAAAAAAAAGCCGTTTTCTCGCTGAAAATTCACAAGTGCTCGGACTGTAACGGAATGCTCTCATCTGTTTGGTTTCCCAGGATTTTGTATTGCACGCTGGTGATCCCGATGCTCTACCTCGAGCCCTTCTTTTCCTACATCTTCCTCAACCTGCAGCTCATGGTCCTGCAGGTCCTTCACCTTTACTGGGGTTACTTCATCCTGAAGATGCTCAAGAGATGCATATTCACAAAGGTAAGTGCCGTTTAAGTCTTGTTATTCTTTTAAAAAATCTGTGTTTTTATTTATTTCTTAAAAATATATTTTTAAAATTGATTTCAGAGAGGAAGGGAGAGGGCAAGAGAGAGAGAGAGACATCAATGAGAGAGAGAACCATTGATCAGCTGCCTCCTGCACACCACCCACTGGGGGGCGAGCCTGCAACTCGGGCATGTGCCCTGACCGGGAATCTAACTGTGGGGACCTCTTGGTTCATAGGTTGACACTCAACTACTGAGCCACACTAGCTGGGCATTATTATTCTTAACAAGTAGACTTCAGTGCCAGATTGAAGGTGAGGCCTAAACAGTGGAACATTCTAGTTAGTTTATAGTTAACCAGAACTATTTTAAAAATTTTTGATCATTATTAAAAGAATTTTTCTAAATTTAGCTAGAATTTTCATTAAGTAGGTCTCAAAGGTGCTTTTAAGAAATAGCTTTTATTAGAGGACAAGTTAATTTTAAGAGGTTTTTATCTAAAAATTGATTGCTGCTTTTTAAAGAATGTCTTAATGAGTCTAAATTTGTTCCAGTTTGGGACGAGCTTTATGGTGACAGTTGAACAAAATTTTAGAGCATCTGATTTGCATATAATGTTCTCCCCGGAGTTTTCTCCTACTCTCTGAAATATTGTATATCATTTGGCAATCATTCTTTTCTGAAAACATCTGTTTTCCTAAGCAACAGATTGATAAGACAGTTTAGACAATAGAGTATTGTTTTGTTTTGAGTTCAGTTCTGGATGGAGGAGGGGGCGTCAGCAGTGAGTAAGCGCAGCGTCGGGGGGAATATTTACCTGCTAGCAGCTGTCTGCGCCGTTCAGCGTCCTGTGCTAAAGACAGGCATTGGCTCAGGGGACTCGGGAACGCTTCATGGACTTGAGGGAACTTGACTTGAGCCTTCGAGGCAAGTTAAAAAACAATCAGATCACAGCTCCTCTTCGTGTGAAAATCATCCATCCAAGGATCGAAAGGACCTTTCAGGGTGAAAGTTGGGCCATCCACGCCTGACACCGCATCGCATCCCCATCAGAAAGAGGGACTCGGATGTGAGGGCGATCTGGCTGCGGCCTCTGTCACCCCATTGATCGCCAGGGTTGATTCGGCTGATCTGGCTGGCTAGGCGGGTGTCCCCCTCCTCCCTCACCGAGCCATGTGCGTCCCTCCCGAAGCTGCGCGCTCGGTCGAAGAGGACGACCTTCCCCGCCGAGGAGAGGACCGGTCTTCGGTCAAGGGTATACGAGGAGCTGCGCTCCCCTGCTAGAACCTCCAAACAAGCTCTCAGAAAGAGGGACTTGGAGGCCATGGACGTGCGGTCATTGGTCTGATGCGCTCATTGCTCATCTCTCTGATTAACTCGGTTTCCCACCGCATGGAGGGCATGGGCCTCAGTGATGCTGGGGGAGCTGACAGTTACATGGACGTGGCGATAATTGACCTTCTACCGTGTCTGACCTTCCAGGTCTAGACAGAGGTGTGGGCAGTCAGGCTACATCTGCATTCAGCTGCAGATTCGGAAAGCTGTGTTGTCATTTTTAAAAAATCTGAATGACTGACCTGAGCTTGTTTTCCTGAGAGTAGGTTCTCCATTAAGGTTGGCGTGCCAAGAAAATTTTTCATTGACTGGTTCTAGGTTATTAATATTCTAAAGAGCTTTTCTGTTCTCTGCCAAAGCTGTCTTATCTCAAAGTGACTGATAAAGCTGAAGTGACTGAGATAAGGATACGACTGAGCAGCTAGACGGCTGCACGTCCAGGGGTTGGAGGGACGGAAGGACCCCGGACTGAACCGCCGTAGCTTTGGATCAGGTCTTCCCGGAGCTCCCGTCCCGGGGCAGGAGCTGTCTCATTGCCAGGCGAGGGCCGGTAACCACAGGCCGGGAGGGAGCCCGCAGAGCAGAACGCGAAGCCAGGAGAGATTCTTGTTTGGTTTCCTTGTGATTTTCACCTGTCTCACCCCTAATGGCCTGTACCAGGCCTAGTTAAAAGCCCAGTGGGCGGGGGGCTGTGGACAGGAAGTCCTGGTTTGTCGTGCTGCGCTGTGTGTGGAAAAGCTGCTTCCAGTTGTGAGTTGACCGTGGCGGTGGAGGCCCCTCGCCCCTCGCTGCGGTCCCTATGACTTCAGCTGGCGAGCATGTGCACTGCGCTCTCCACGCGGTGGCAAACCTGGCTGAGAAACCTGCTTGTTCCTCCAAAGCCCTAGGCCGCCTTTGAAAGAATGCTGTTTCAGGCAGAGTCGCATTCATGGCACAGGGGGGAGGGGACAGAGGTGGCAGTTGACATTCTTAGAGCAACAACTAGCAAGTCAGTTTTCAACAATATCTCATAAATACTGAAGTATTTAACACTCAACCTAGTTGTTACTAAAGTGACGAATACTTGGATATTTAATAAATGGGATTGCAGAAGTTTGTCGGCCTCCAAAAATGTCTTTTAAATCTTATAACAGAGAGTGAGAATTCGTCCCTTTTAAGTTTCTTCTGCCTGGTAGGCCCTTCGTAAGTAATTTTGAATATGCAAATGAATACATAATTTGGGAAAGCAAACCGTGCTGTTTGGGGTGGAAAGTTACAGAATAACTTATGAATCTTTTTACGGTCTCCATGAGTTTGCATGGTCGAATGCAAAAGACAAAAGTGCTTATACTACTTCATAGTGATTTTTCAAATAGTCAGATTTTGTTTTTCCTAAACAGTAGGGTCATTGCATGCATACCATGAATGAGGACCTGCCATTGGCTTCTGTGGTCACAAGCCTTACCAGAGCAATGGCACTGTCATCTCAGGACCGTGGCTTGTGCAGACCGTGGTGAGCAGGCATCTTCCTGCTCAAGACCAAGACTTGGCTCTGAACCCTCACAGGATCCCATCGGGTGGTGACGTGGTGATGTGCTACCAGCCCGCACGCGAGCCCCTGTGTTCCTCCTGTCATTCCCCTGCAAACAGGAGAAGTGCTGTCGGGAGAATTAAAGGGGCCCAGGCTGCTTTCGTTACCATCCCTAGAACTTGATCCTCTCTCAGCTTCTCTTTGCTTCTTGGTAAACAGCATGCTGGGTGCGGGCCAACTCAAGCATGTCTCTGCGACATCTTAACCTGGTGCGCAGCCAAGACACAAGGGAGGAGCCATACAGTCAGGGTGGAGAAGCCAGCCCCTTGGCAGCCTGCCCCAGCCATCTGCTCTTGACAGGCAGTGCGGCCCGAGTTCACAGAATGACACTTGACACAAGCTGCACCGTTGGCGTGAGAGAGAGAAAGGAGCCCTCTCAGAACCACGAGGAAACGGAGGCCTGCAGCAAATGCACAGGCACCTGAGTCCCTTCACTGTCATACTTCTCCTTTTCTAATTATTCTTTACTCAAACACTTACTCTTTTTTTAAAAATTGATTTCAGACGAGGAAGGAGAGGGAGAGAAAGAGAGAAACATCAATCGGCTGCCTCCTGTACACCCCCAACCAGGGATCGAGCCCAAACCCTGGGCATGTACTCTGACTGGGAATCAAACCAGCGGCCTCTTGGTGCAAGGGTTGCTGCTCAACCACCGAGCCACACCAGCCAAGCTCAAACACTGCTTTATTTGAAATAACTAGAAAATTAATTTAAAGTATTTGTATGAAGTAAAAAATAGTGAGTACATAAGTGCATTGAATAATCAAGATCATAAAATGCAGTGACAAATCCTTTAACTTGTTTTTAGACTTTTTATAAAAGCATAAGAAAACATTTTATAATAATTTTTTTAATCCCAAGTAACTTCCTGCTAAGCAATCAGGGTACTAGCTGAGAGCACAGGCTCCCGTACCTTCAGATCTCAGCTCTCCCTCCTCCTGGCTGGGACCTATTCATTGCCTCAGTTTCCTCACCTGTGAAATGGGGCTGATGGCATTGGGAGCTACCTGCCCTGTAGGCTGAACCCCTCGACCAGTGTCTGGCACACAGGAAGCACGTGATAAGTGTTAGCTGTCAGCAGCAGCAGCATAACTGTTGACTCCGGTTCTTTGTGCCAAATCACAGCGCCAGTGAATTCCAAGGAGATGGGCAGTTGGCTCCCCGTCCAGCTCACTCCTCCTCTTGCCCAGATGCTGCTGCAGCTGATATCAGGTGTCAGGTGGAGATGGAGGATTTTTAGGGCAGAAAACAAAATCCCTTCCAGGGTTTCATACCTGTGGCTGTGATGTTACAGATCGCACATACATGGTACATTTGAATACAACATGGGGCTTTGTTAATGTTAAATGCCACACAATTTCCAGTTTACATGATCCAAGTTCCTGTCATGCACAGCCACCTATATGTCCATCACACAAGCGCTCAGTCCCAGGAAGTCCTTTCTGAACCTGATTCATCATCTCGGGCAGGAGCCCTCCATCCTGGACCCACACCCCAGCACTAGCCTGAAATTAAATTCCTGGGTAATATGACTCACCTATAGCCATAATTTCAGAAAGCAGTATAATGCCACAACCATAATGAAAAAGAAATGAGATGAAAGACGTTTCTGATAAATATGCATTTCATATGTAACACGTGTGCATGGCTTCACTCAACAACATGCTGAAGTCGATAGATGCCATCTGCTTATGTGTAGACCGACTGTGAATGGGGCAGCTGTGCGCACAGCCGGCCCCAGGGCTGTGCTGGGAACTCGGGCGGTACTGGTAGCCTTGCCGTCGGTGGCGTGCTTTTCTGAAACTGTGAAGTTCTGAACAAAAAAAGCACAGTCTTCCTTTGATTTATGTGCATCGTTGCATTCCTGGGAAATTGAGAATGTATTAAAACCATGCAGGAATGGCTGTGCTTGAGTGTCAAGTGGTGTGAGGCTCTGGGCGCAGGTAATTGTAACCAGGGCTTCACCTGCATGCCGGCCCATCTGGACATCGTGCCCACTGGGGGCGGCCGGCGTGCCAGCCACTGCCCCCTAAATGTCAGGGGTGCTCCCCAACCTTCGTGACTATGGGACCACAACTTACCCAAAGTCTCATGTGGTGCAGGACGTCTTCCTGGAAGGGAGGGTGCTGACGCTGTGGCTCAGGGCGATGGGAGCGCCCTCGAGGACCACCTCACCTCTCAGCTCAAGCAGCTCCACAAAGCCCGGGCCAGTGGCGGGAGGTGTGCGTCTGCTTTTCTTTGTTAATCCTCACCTGAGGAGATTATCCCATTGACTTTTTAAAAATATGCTGGTGTTGATTTCAGAGAGGAAGGGAGAGGGAGAGAGAGATAGAAACATGAATGAGAGAGAATCATTGATCAGCTGCCTTCTGCACGTCCCACACTGGGGGTCAATTTTGAGTTAAAATCAAGGTGTGGCAGAGCTGTGTTCCCGCTAGAGCAAGCATGTCAAACTCAAAGGCTAACACGGGCCAAATAAACAAGGTTTAAGTTTATGTGGGCCGCAAAAAAACCCAAAGCTTCCATTTTCATAGAAACGTCGGTTTATTTCGATAGAGACATGCTGAATACAAAGGGATGAAATAGATGAATAATTGTTAACATAAAATAATAGAACATTTTAATAGAAGTTAATGTTTTTTCTTGAACATGAACTTACCAGACACTGAATAACTGCATAAACTAATAAGCGTAACACAAATAAACCTATTTTTCTTGTTTTCTGAAAGCAAAATATTTCCTGTTGTGCACACCAAACAAGTCAGTCCAAGACTAATGACGTGGCAATCTGCTGCTAAAATATTCGCTGCTGGTAATAGTGGAGAGAAATGGTGCGCCTGTGCGTAAGGGAAATGAATGCAACACAATTACAGTAATCACCTATTAGCAAACATTGTAGTTTGCTATTAATAATTATGTATAACTGGATATTGTAAAAATTAAGTCACAAAATTTTTATTAAAACGTTTCTTACTTACTGTTATATTGGCTGGGCCGCAAAAATATTCCTTTTGGGCTGTATGCCGCCCGCGGGCCGAGAGTTTGACATGCTTGTGCTAGAGGCTCTAGGGGAGAATCTGTGCTTTGCCTCTTCCAACTTCTAGCGACTGTCAGCCTTGGCCTGTAGCCACGCCACTCCCCTCCGCCTCCGTCTGTATATTTCTTGTCTCCGTGTCAGACCTTGCTCCGCCGCTCCTACAAATACGCTGTGATGGCACTGAGGGCCCGTCTGGGTGAACCCGATAATCTTCTCATCCCAAGATCCTTTACTTAACCACATCTGCAGACTCTACCATAGAAGGCAACCGTCAAAGGTCCAGGAACTAGGACCTAGTATCTTTGAGGACATTTTTCAACATACTACAATGGTGTTTAGCAATCAAAAGTGTGTGTGTGTGTGAGAATTTGTGTTGCTGTTGTATCTTGCAGCCTAAGTGCTAAACTTACTAATTCTAGGAGTGTTTTTGAAAGATTATCTCTATAGATAATCATGTCATCTGCAAGTAGGGGCACTTTCTTTCCAATCTGTATGGCCTTTGTTTCATTTTTGCCTTATTCCATTGACTAAGACTTCTAACAGTGTGGAATAGCAGTGGTGAAAGTGGACATCCTCGCCTTGTGCCTGATCTTAGGGGGAAAGCATTTAGTCATTCACCATTAAGTATGGTGTTAGCTTCAATTCCTTGCTAAGCTTTTTGTTTTTATCATGAATGAATGTTGAATTTTATCAAATAATCATCTATTTTTCCTTCTTTAGATTACTAGTATAATAGATTGCATTCATTCATTTCCAGATATTGAACCAGCCTTGCATTACTAGGACAAATCCTACTTCATTGTGTATTATTATTTTTATACTTTTCTGGTTTTGATTTGGAATACTCTGTTGAGGACTTTTACATTTATGCTTGTTAGAGATATTGGTCTGTAGATGTCTTTTCTTATATGGTCTTTGTATGGTTTTGGTATCAGGGTAATTCCAGCCTCATAAAAAGTTGATAAGTTTTCCCTCTCCTATTTTATGGAAGTCACTGTGGAGATTTGGTATTAGTTCTTCTGTAGAGAAGCGTCGGTGAAACCATAGACCTTGCCAGTGAAACCATCTGGACCTGATGATAATTCTTTTTCAGAAAAATTTAAACTACAAATTTCATTTCTTTCATAGCCACCTGGATGTTCGGACTACCTAGATCACTGTGGGTGAATTTTGGTGTTTGTAGTTTTGGGAAATTGGTCTCTCGACCTGAGTGGCACGATAGCTATCTGTGAAGTTGTTCATGGCATTCTGTTACTAATGCAGTGTTGACAGGCATTTCTCCTTCCTGTTTGCTGATAATTTGTGTCTTCTCTTTGCTTTGCCAGCCTTGCTAGTGATTTATAAGTTTTATGAATATTTTCAAAGAACCAGATTTTGGTTTTATTGCTTTTCTGTATTTTTATTGTTTCTGCTTTCATTGATTTTTTTTACATGATTTTCTTCCTTTTGCTTGCTTTGGACTTATTTTCTTTTTTTCTAGTATTTTTAGGTGGGAGCTCAAAATTATTTAATAATAAACTTAAATTATTTATTTGTGAAGAAATTATTATTTCTTCTTCTCGAATATAAACACTTAATGCTATGAAATTTCTTGTAAGTACTGCCTTAGTTATATCCCACCAACATTGAAATGTGTTTTCACTTTAGTTCAAAATATTTTCTAACGTTTCTTGAAATGTACTCTATGATTCATTGATTATTTGTGTGTTAATGTCTAAGTTTTTGAGATTTTTCCTATTCTATTTTTTAAAATGTATTTTTATTGATTTCAGAGAGGAAGGGAGAGGAAGAGAGAGATAGAAACATCAATGATGGGAGGGAATCATTGATTGGCTGCCTACTGCACGCCCCCTACTGGGAATGGAGCCGGAAACCTGGGCATGTGCCCTTGACCAGAATTGAAACCGGGACCCTTGAGTCCGCAGACCGATGCTCTATACACTGAGCTAAACCGGTTAGGGCTCTCCTATTTTTGAAACTGTCTTCTGTGTAATTCCATCATGACCTAAAGCATACTTTGCCTCGTGTCAGTTCTTTAAGTTTGTTGAGGTTTGCTTTGGCCTCATGCCCTGTTCTGTCCCAGGGCGTGTTTGGTGGTTTGGATGCTGGGTTTTCTTTGACGGGGGCCATAGCTCTAAACTGGGCCCACTTATCTGCTCATTCATTCAAGACTGGCGGCCAGCTGTCACTCACAGTCCATTCTCTCCTTTGTCCAGAAAATCCAGGATGTGAGGAGTGATGACGAGGAGGAGTACGAAGAAGAAGAAGAGGAAGAGGAAGAGAAGAAGGAAGAGGCCACCAAAGACAAAGAGAGAGACTGTTTGAAGAACGGACTCGGGCCCGACCGGAGCCTCCTTCCCAATGGTCAGCATGGCCGTTAGCGGGAAGCCCACGTGGGTCTCGGGTCATGTGACCAGGGCCACAGAAGCCAGGCTGCCCTCCATCACTGCAACCCAGGCCCCACAGGGACCCCAGACCCGCCCTCCCTCTCCCCAGTGCCCCCTCCAGATGTATTTAACAAAAACGTTGTTGGAATGTGTTAAAATGTTAAATATAAGCGTTCCTATGGATTTACTGCAGTTAGGACTGAGACCGGTCAGAGATTTCAAGGATTTCTCCAGGGAACCGTGTCGGTTCTCATTGTCGTTGCACCGCCCGCCTTGCCCATCCCTAGCAAGTGCCAGCAGTGCTGTTAACCCACTGTCTCCGCTGGGCTTGGCCACAGACAGAGCTCCTGCCCTAGAACGACTGAGAGGTAGCGATGGGACAGGGGCTTGTGTGAAACCTCCCAAGCTTGTCGCTCTGTCTGTCCAGGGGAAGAAGCCTGTCCCGCCGACCTCACAGGGTCGGAGGAAGGATCCAGCAAGAGAAGGCAACTCTGGTGTTACTGTCCCTGAGCCTCGTCCCCTGCGATTCCAGCTCCGTTTGGGAGAGAGAACCTGGCTAAGCTGGGCATTGCATGGGCCTGAAGGAGAGACACTAGCTTAAACACTTGCCCATTCAGCCTGCGTGGTGCTAGCTGGAAATGCAAATACCCAGCAGGCCCTTTCCATTTACCCTGAAACTATTTATTTGTTAGTTTCCCAAGGGTAATTTCTGAATTCCCTGGGAATTCTCCCTCAGGTCCAATGGCCACAGGGAGGGAGTTTGGGTCCCATTCCATCTTGCTGTGCTGGTCTGTCCTCCTTTTCTTCTCTGAAAGGCCAGCAGAGCTACCCAGCAGGCCCTGGGGGAGTGGGACTGGTCAGGCTGCTCCCTGAGCCACTATCACCTGGGAAACCGGAGCCTCTGGGCGTGATATGCGTGTGAGCTCCTGACCGAGAGGAAACCTTAGACACAGGAGGGGGGTGCTACCCATTCATCTCCCCTGTAACCAGTCAGACCGCCAAATAGCCAAACAGAACCAAAGGCCGCTGGCAAACACCCCAGGCGGTCCAAGCGCAGGTGCTCTTGTCAGCGACAGCTCCCGGGCCACCTGCGTCTCTGGGAGGATGCCGGGGGCTGGGGGCTCAGGGACTGCTCTCGGTCCCCACAGGAGGCGTGTCTCGTGAGCCCAGCATGCAGGGTGGGCCCGGGGTGTCTTAGATGCTTGCTGGCTGAGGAGAGACCACTCCCAGCAGAAGGAAAACCGGGCACCATGTGCACCCCCGCCCCACCCCTGTCTCTCGGACAGTTTTGGTCACACTGTGCACCTTCATCTCATTTCACTCAGGGCCCGTATTTAAGCCAGGGGACAGCTAGGACTGTGGGCGCCGTTCACGTGTCCACATAGGCCCCGGGAACAGGACGGCTCTCTGCGCAGGACAGGTACCTGAATTGTGTTTTACTTAAAAGATGTTTTTTGTTGTTGTCTTTTTTTTTTTTTTTTAGTTCTTTTTAATTTAAAAGATGTTTTTAAAACCTTCAGTTTAAACTGAAACCAAAACCATTCAGAATTCTTCCCCCAATGGAATCTCCTTGTGAGAACTCATTAGGACAATAGAAAGGCATGGGGGCACGTGTTCTCTGCACAGTCATGTTTGCCAGTACGAGCACCATGCATTGTCCGTATAATGTTATGTTATAACCCAGAGTGCCCACACTCCCTGACGGGCACAGCTGGGGAGCTATTATTGCTATTATATTATTATTGTTTTGGTGGCAGAAGAGCATGCTGAGATATTGTTTTTTAATGTTTTTAGTTGGCAGAGTACTTTTTCTTTGATTGATTTTGGTGTCGTCTCTGTACCAAGTATCTCCCTGCTTACGGTAAAAGATCGCTTACTGGCCGCCCTCCCCTCCAGTTCTTTTCTTGTTTGAATGTTGAAGGTGAAATGGATGTGCCAGTGTCAGCCGTCTCTGGTCGCTGGTGCACTGACCCGCCTCTCAAGAGGTAGAGAAGCTGTAGGGCTGGGGTGTGGTTGGTTTTAGAGCAACCACTCCCCCTGCAGGAAACAGGCCTCAGACTGTGCCAGGCGACTTTATAAAAACGCAGCCCGCCGGGCCCCGATGGGACTGTCATGGTAATGACTGACCGCGAAACAAAGGCCGGTCCAGCACGCGCCCTCTCGGCTTCTGAGAGCTGGTGACGGGTCTCACCTGGTGTGGAGCCATCTGCCCGTCCTCCAGACCCTAGAGATGCTGTGCCAGGGAGCAGAGGGCATGGAGCCACGCTAGGACACTGGGGCTGCTGGCCGTGGGGTACCGACCCCGGACAAGAACTGGCGGTTGGTCTTGACCGGGGAGAGCCTCTTGGCTCTGTAGACAGACAGACACCTACGGGCTGGGACCTAACTCGGTCCTGGCCACAGGGCCCTGCGGCAGAGACGCTCGCAGGTGCTCAGGGAGGTGTTTTCTCAGCACCTTTTCTCACCTGCCTTTCGGAGCTGGAGGAGGACATCGGTCCATCAGCATTCCCTGTGGACCTAAGCACGCCTTGCCTGGCGCCTGCTGACATTTCAATCCAATGCTTTGGGGCGAGAAACAGATCTGCATCTCAGCCGCGTCTGGGTGCTTCTGAAGAGCAGTGAGGGTTCTGGGGGGGGCGGGGGGCACCCGCTTCGTTCCTACCAGCAGTTTCTCAAGCTGATAGATGGGGACATGCCCTGACACAGGCTAGTCAACCCCAAATCCGTCACCAAAGCAGACAGTGGGCAGGTCACAGGAGAGTAAAAGCTAGCGCCTTTGACGTCCTTGCCTTTCTCAGATTGTTGGTGTTATTTGACCACAGCCTTTCCTTTTTCCTAAAAACTTTTAATACCAAAAATACCTTTAAAAGAGGCCATAACCTCACTATGTCAATATATTTGAAGGTGTACGTAAAATGTGTAAGTTCCTAGGAAAATACAGCTTGTCAAACGGGCACAAGAGGGAATAGCTACCTAAATAGTCTTCTGTATAAGACAAAATGAAATGTGAAATGATAAAAGTCACACACAACCCCACAAAACAGTCCTTAGGCCCAGATGGGGATCCTTCCAGTATTTAAGAAAGAATGTACACAGCGTTACACAAACTTTTCCAAAGGAAGGAACACATCCACACTTGTTTTATACAGTAAGACCAGCACAAACTTGACACCAGAATCTGACAAGAATATTAGAAAAAAAAACCCCGAACAATTAAAGGATGTCATTCATGAACATAGGCACAAAATCTCTAAACCAAAGCTAATCAGTGATTCTCTCCCATCACCGATGTTTCTATCTCTCCCTCTCCCTTCCTCTCTGAATGCAATAAAAAATATATTAAAAAACAAAAATAAATAAATGAAGAGGCCCTTTGCCAAGTTGCCAAAGTCTTGGTCCTTGCGAATAAAACCTTCCACCAGGGGGCTCTCAAGCTCTGGTGAAGAGAAGAGGGGAGAGGACAAAATCCACTGGTGGTTAAAGGGAGAGAGGGTCCTGGCCAGTGTGGCTCAGTGGTTGAGCATCTGCCTATGAACCAGGAGGTCACAGTTCCATTCCCGGCCAGGGCACATGCCTGGGTTTTGGGCTCGATCCCCAGTAGGGGGCGTGCAGGAGGCAGCTGATCCATGATTCTCTCTCATCATGGATGTTTCTTATCTCTCTCCCTCTCCCTCTCTGAAATCAATAAAAATATAGGGGGAAAAAGAGAAAAATAAAATAAAGCTCAAAACCCTGGAACAATTTAATAAGCCAAGTCAAATTATGGGCTTTGGGTCCAGGAGGCACATCCAAGAACACAGCGGTCAGTGTGGTCACTCTGATTGGAGCTGCTCAGGGACACGTCTGGCCTGTGTCCACTGTGGGGGAGTCTGTGGGCTCCTGCAGGGCCGGCTCAGCCTCCCAGCACCCACGGCGGCCCCTGCCCGCAGCGCGCACAGCCCAGGCCTGGGAGTCAGTGTGTGTGACAGGGACTGCAAGCACACACAGGGACGGGGAGGGAGGGAGAACAGCAGAGCCAACCAGAGAGAAGGGGGGGAGGGGGAGAGGTGTGCTGGGGTGTGAAGGAACCAGCAGAAAGCAGAGAGCCCTTGAGAGCCAGCAGGTGTCTGAGTAGAGTAGGAAGTGGTCCCCTCTCCCTTCTCCTACCCAGGTTCCTCCTAACTCTCCCGCACCCCGCTCTCTGCATGGCCCCTCCATCCCCACCAGCCTCCACCTCTCCTCTCTCCTCACCCCCACACCCTGTCCTGCCTGCCCCCCCCACCCTTCTCAGGGTGGAACTTGACCACAGCCGGGTGTGCTGGTGGCCTCGCACCTGTCCATCTGAAGAACCCACGTGTCTCTGGCCACCGGCCCACCCACCCGTTGGACCTCTGCTTTGGTTCCGGGGACCTTGTTCTATCAGCATAACATGTTCCCAGGCTGAAGAGGGTGGCACCTGCCTATGCCTCCTAGAGCACGCGCCAGCGCCAGCCAAGTTTAAGGCCTGCCCCTCCTGCCTCCCTCACCCCCTCTCGCTCCCAGCACCCCACGGGCAGCCCCAATATTCATGGCCTTGGCTCTTTAGTGGAGAGGCGGCTGCGGGTGGCCTTGGGGATGTGAGCTTCCTGTGCTTGGGACCTGGAGAAGCCAGCAGGAGGGTGACAGAGAGACGAGCAAAGGAGGGGGGTGCAGGCAGATCCCCCTTCCCCGCCCCTCCCCACACCCACACGCTGGGGCGCTGGAAGGGCTGGGACCCCCGGGGAAGGGTCCAGGGCCGCCCCAGCCTCCTCTCCTGCTGCCTTAGGACGGGGAGGAAGAGGAAGGCAAGGGTCAGGGACACCACACCTGGCTTGAAGGCCGTGGCTTTGAGCAGGGGCTTGGCATCCGTCTCGCCTTCAGGCTCACGTGCCGTCTTGTGAAACCCTAGCACTTGACCCAACTCCCACGACCCACCCCACCTGCAGCGGGGGCCGGAGGATCCCCGGGGAGAAATAAAGCAAGGAAACCGTGAAATCAGGTCCAAGGGAAAAAGAGAGAGGGGCAGGGCTGGATTTCCCCCTTCTGTTCTTGGCAGCCACTTCCAGAAGGCTTCGGGGAGGGGGAATTTGATAACCAGGCAACTGCACCCTTAGATAGCCGGCCGTCTGGCCCTTAGCCAGGGGCACGTTTGCAGAGCGGAATGGGAGAGTCATTTCTACAAAATGCATTTGTCTCTCAGCTCTAAGTGTCTGTCCCCACACCCCTCCCCCTCCCCCTCCCCTCCCCTCCCCTCCCCCTCCCCCTCCCCCTCCCCCCCCCTCCCCCTTTATGTTTCTTCCTCCCTCCCTCCAGCTTTCTCTTGCTCTCCTCCCCTGCCCTCCCCCAAGGATGGGTCTTAGCGGGACTGAGATGGGACCCGATCACACTGCATGGCACCCTCACGGGCCACCCAGAACGCTCTTTTCCTCTTAATTCCTCGCCTTCCATTCCCCCCAGAGAGGAAGGCGACGAGTCTGTATGTTTAACGTGTGTCTTCCTTGTCCACTGTCTGTCTTCGAAATACGGTGTCGTTGTGAGCTTTCATCACATAAACATAGTGTCAAATGATTCACGATGTCAATTCAGCACTGCCCTTTGCCACAACCTCATGGAGATCTAGTTGACACGCAATGTGTGGCACGCGGCCCGTGTTTGAAGCGCACCAGTGGGTAAGTTTTGATGGGGGTCCACTCGTGAGCGACCACAGCAATCAACACAGTCCTCAGCCCCCCGACGTGGCCTCCTGTCCCTTGGCCATCCCATCAGCTTGTTAATACTGTGAGCTGCAGTGACTGAGTTTTTAAAAATACCTACTCATTGATTTTGGAGAGAGGAAGGGAGAGGGGGAGAGAGAAAAACATCAGTCACTCGACCAGGTTGAGCCATCACCATCGGCATTTCCTAAAATCAAACATAAATCGGGGTCAGTTCCCTTCTTCCGCCCGTCCTTGCATTACATTCGAGCCTCGCTCAGCAGACCAGCTGCTTTCCCGGAGCAAAGAAAAGAACGGGGAGAGAAAGGGACTCGGGGACCGGAGGGCGGTGCTGAGATGGGAGGAAGCTGGCCGAGGAGGGCCCGGTGTGCTGCTCAGTGACAGGACATACAGTGCTTTGCTCCGTCGTCTGTAAGGGAGGGGAGTTGGCTGGCTGGGATGCCGCTCTGTGCTCATGCCTCACACTCTAGCCCCTGTCCTGCTCATTTAGAGAAAAAGGAGTGCAAGGTCCCCTTTGTCAGAGGCTGCCTCCCCCCGTCCCCCTTTTGGAAGGGACATGAAGATACAGTTGTCTTTTCAACACGGACATTCGAAAGCCATGGACCTTCAGCTCCAAGGCAGTCTTTGGGGAGGGGGTGACTCAAGATGTTAGGGAAGAGCAGGGCTAGGGAGACATCAGTAGAAACCCCGAGAGAACAATAGCTAGACTAAAAAACCGCAGGGTTTGCCCCAGCTGGTGTGGCTCAGTTGGTTGGGCATTGTCCCCTGCACCAAGAGGTTAGGAGTTCGATTCCTGGTCAGGGCACAGGCCCAGGTTGCGGGCTCGATCCCCAGTAGGGGGCGTGCAGGAGGCAGCCGATTGATGTTTCACAATCACATCGATGTTTCTCCCTCTTCCTTTCTCTCTAAGAATCTATTAAAAATATTTAAAAATTTTTTAAGTCGATGTTTTAAGGAGCAGTAACTTGGACTTGTTCCGCAATATCACTACCAGGGCCTGGTTAGGTGAGCCGAAATTTCCAGACAATGGTGATCCCCAGAGTCAGGCAGGAATGGCCTGGGTGGCTAGGGCACCCCTTCACGGTGAAACAGACCCAGGAAGTGGGGAGGTGCATGCAGACCCCACAGGGAGAGGTTGGCAGGAGTCACGGAGGGGATGAGGATGCTGGCCAAGTAGCTGCATTTGGGGCCAACTCCAGGCTTTACAAGGAAAGGGCGAAATAAAAATCAGGAAAAAAATTAAAAAACTACAAAAAAAAAGAAAGAAAGAAAGAAAGAAAACAAAGAAGAAGAACCCAGGCCTTTGGAGCTGAGGAGAGCAAGCCTGTGCTTGCATTTCACACCAGTTCTGGTTGTAGAAGGAAGAGGGGACTGATGCCAGGCGCCCCCTGCTGGAGGCCATGGGCCATCTCATGGGCTCCTAGGAGGAGGGATGGGTGGTGGCTCAAGGACCAAGTGAATTTAGACTCAAAGGAATCCCCTCTGACACCCTCTCTCCTCACCTCCCGCCCTGGCCAGGGGCTGGTCAGCTGGTTCTGGAAGGCTGGCTTCCTTTTCATGAGGGACTCTGCACACACAGGCTTTGCCACTGGGTTGCCGTGGCTACTGGTTTCCACCAAAGTAGATGATGCTACTGCTGCTGCTGGATGGGTGGCTCAAGGACCAAGTGAATTTAGTCTCTAAGAGTTTGTCATGGGAACCCCCTCTCGCACCCTCTCTCCTCACCTTCCTCCCTGGCCAATGTCTAGGCGGTTGGTTCCGGAAGGATCATGGGTCTTCTCCCACCTACACACGGATGGAGCTTACACACGGGTCTAGGCGCCTGCACCCAGCTCACCAGCTCAAGAAAGGCCCAAGTCAGGGGGGACTAACGAGGGTCAAGTTTGGGCCGAGGGCCCCGCAGTCCTCTTTATACTGCCCAGGGGTCATCTGCTCCCAGTAGCAATAGTAACAGGCACGGTGATGGCTGTCAGCACCCAGACTTGACTGTCGGGCATGAAGCGTCCAAGAGAGGCACCTGACCGACCTGCTGGTGTCTGTTCCAGCAGCATGATGGGAAAGCTCTCTGCCCACCAGGAGAGAGTTGTTCACAAAACGCAGGTGGACACGCCACACCGTTGAGCTTTGTCAACAGTGAGCGCACGGAACTTTCGACCCAGAGCCAACCAAGGCCAGCTGCCCCCATGTCACATTCAGGCCTCTGCTGCCACCTGTAGGGCTTCGGTGGGCTTGCGTGTCTTGAATTCATCTCCCCCTGACCCCTGACTCCTCCATCTGTGAAATGGGTTTAAGCCCTGCCCTTCCAAAAAATTAAGACAAGGCTATTTGAGTGTGTAAACATGACATGCCATTATGGCAAATAGCGATTTTTTAGAAAATATGCTTTTATTGATTTTAGAGAAGAAGGGAGAGGGATAGAGAGAAATACCAATGATGAGAGAGAAACATTGATCGGCTGCCTCCTGCACGCCCCCTACTGGGGATCGAGCCTGCAACCCGGGCATGTGCCCTGGCTGGGAATGGAACCCTGACCTCATAGGTCGACACTCCATCATTGAGTCATGCCGGCTGGGTGCAACTTGATTTAAAAAAAAAAAAGTTTTGTCAACTAGTCTTGATGTCTCTCCATGTGGTTATAAACACCAAATTACTACATTTTTGTTCATTGATGCCTGGTGTTCTGTTAGCCATGTATCTGATGATGGGCATACAGGTTTTTGCAACTTTTTCTTTTTCTCTGAATAGTGTGCTGTGGTGACCATCCTTGCCCTTGTGCCATTGCTTCTCCATGGTAGTTAACCAGATGGGAATTACAGAGTTGCTGGGTGTATGCATTTTAAATTTTACTACCGATTGCCCAGTTATTCTTTAAAGTGGCTGCGCCAGTTTACACTCCCACCCATGGGCACAAGCGTGTCCTCTCCGATTCGCGATGTTTCCCAGCTCTTTACTTTTGCGCAGTCTGGTTGCTGTCTAGTTGTTGCTTTAGTCTCCATGCGTCTGTTAGTGGACAATGACTCCTTCAGCCTGACTCCAGTGGCAAAAGCACTTGTTCTCCTGGCTGCTACTCACCGGCTTTCAGTGGCAGGCCTTTGAGGTGGCTCTTTGGCCAACAAAAGCTGCACCAAAAAGCTCACCATGACATCTCTCCATCTGTAAGAGGGTGTGGCCATACCTGTTCGCTGGCTTCTGTGAGGATAAAGACAAAGGGTTGTGTGCAGGGTTTGGATAAATACTGGTATGTTGGATGTAGGCAGCAGTCAGGTGCAAACACAGGTGTGCAAGAAAGTGCCCCCATCCAGATGCAGAGAGAAACGCGCTTTTAGGGGTGACACGGTTGGCCAGGACGCTTTCCAGACTGTCGTCTTGTGCAACTGGGGCGATAGGGTCAGGGGATTTCAAAAATGAGGATAAACTCTTAAGATTAGAGACTTCCCCATGGTGATCCCTCAAGGTGTCCCCTCCTGGGTCCTCCGGGGTCGCGCGCCACCTGGCGTCCGGTCTCCGCCACTGCCCAGAAACCACGTGTAAGAAAGTGCTTACAACCTAACAACACACCCTGGTTTGGACCCGTCCTAGCCAATAGGCGAGGGGGAGGCGGGGCCGGGGAAAGCAAGCGCCCAATCACCTCCTGCTCTCTGAGGAGAGGGCGGGGCTTCGGGTTTACCACGTTGGGTTTGTCCGCAGCGCTAATTACTTTTTCCAGAGGCAGGAGGAGGGTTTCACTCCGGCTGGCGCCGCCGCCTCGCGCGCTCCTGCTCCGCCGCGACCATCCGGGGGGTTGCTCCTCCCAAGTACCATGTGTGACGGCGCCCTGCTGCCTCCCCTCGCCCTGCCCTTGCTGCTGCTGCTGGTTTGGGGACTGGACCCGGGCACAGGTAGCGCCCCCTCTCCCGCCGTCCTTCGCCGGTGCCTCTCGCGACCCCCTTGCTTCTGCCCTCCCGAGGCATCCCGGCGGCCCGCGCCCGCCCGTGCAGCGCTGCTCGGGCGGCGATCGGCTGACAGCGCCCAGGCCGACGAGGCGCAGGCCGCAGCCGCAGCCGCAGGATGGGGTTCCGAGCCGGGCGGCCGCGCGGGAGACCTTCCCCGGGTGGTCGGGCCCGGGCGGAGGCGCTGGCGGGCACGGAGGCGCCGAGGCGAGGGCCGGGCAGAGCGCGCCCGCTCGGGGTCTCGCTGTCCGGGTGCTGTCGGGACCCGTGCGCGACGGGTGGCCGGCGGGAGAGCGGGCGGGCGGGCCCCGCCGCGCTGACACGTCTCCTCTCTCCCCCTCAGCTGTCGGCGACGCGGCGGCCGACGTGGAAGTGGTGCTCCCGCGGCGGGTGCGCCCGGACGACGTGCACCTGCCGCCGCTGCAGCCCGGGGTCCCCGGGCCCCGACGGCGGCGGCGGCCCCGCGCGCCCCCAGCCGCCCCGCGCCCCCCGCCCGGCGAGCGCGCGCTGCTGCTGCACCTGCCGGCCTTCGGGCGCGACCTGTACCTGCAGCTGCGCCGCGACCTGCGCTTCCTGTCCCGCGGCTTCGAGGTGGAGGAGGCCGGCGAGGCCTGGCGCCGGGGACGCCCCGCCGAGCTGTGCTTCTACTCGGGCCGCGTGCTGGGCCACCCGGGCTCCCTGGTCTCCGTCAGCACCTGCGGCGCTGCAGGCGGCCTGGTACTGCCCCCTCCTCCGCGTCTGCCCCGCAGTCTGTCGAGGCGCAGGGGGTGGTCCTCCAGGAGGGCTGGGGTTCGGGTGGGGTGGGGCTGCTCTACCGCAGACGCAGGGGGGTGCGTCTCAGCCCGCCTGGCAGTACCTGGCAGGCCCCAGACAGAGAGGCGCACTTGGCCAGGTGTAGCGAGTGCGCTATCTGCACGTATGCACTCCATGGGGCACACTTGCTGGTGTCTGTCTTGCCTCTTCTTGGCTGTGGGGATGGGGTGGTGGGCACTCATTCCCCTCCCTTCTGTTCCTTTGAGACCTCTGTGCACGGAAGAGGGAGTCTGGGGGCTCCCGGGCGGGCCACTAACCCACTCTGATTAGTTGTGAACCAGGAGGGAGAGGGTGCTCCTACCCTGGTTCACGACAAGTGGGCATTTGTGGGGCATCCACCCTGAGCCAGGCCCGAGGAGTGCTGACCTTGCACATAAGATTCTCCCTGTCTCCTGTGGCCATAGCTCTTCCTCTGTCCACAAGACGCCGCCCCGCTGCACAGGAGGCACCAGTACGCCAAGGGGATGGGAGGTTCTTGTGCACCTGCCTGGACACCCAGTGGTGACTCAGGTGCCCAGCCATGTGCTTCTCAGCTCTCGGTGCCCCGAGGAGTGCACATGGCTGGCAGATGGGCTGCCCCCAGCAAGCCTGGCAGAGGCTCAGGGCATGAACCACACAGCTGCTTCTCTGTCTATTGCCATGCCTGGCTGCCGGGGAAGCAGTTTCTTGTTTTTATTTATTTTTTATGGACTTCAAGAGGAAGGGAGAGAGAGAGAGAGAGAAACATCAATGATGAGACTCATCAATTGTCTGCCTCCTGCACGCCCCCTACTGGGGATGGAGCCCGCAACCCGGGCATGTGCCCTGACCAGGAATCGAACAGTTCATAGGTTGATGCTCAATCACTGCGCCACACGGGCTGGGCGGGGAAGCAGTTTTTGACATCGTTGTGTGCTGCCCTTCCCAGGCACAAGGAGCTGCTTCCCCCACCTTGGGCTTATTTGGTTGCAGCTTCTAGAATTCCCTCGCCCTTCCTCACGCTGCCACAAAGCCGGACAGCCTGGGGTCCAGGTTCCTATGAAAATTCTGTTTTCTTCTGAGCAATGTCGGGGACCCCGGGGTGGGGAATGTCCTAGGACTGGCATTCGCCAGTGCCCCAGTCTGGATGTTTCTGTGTCCTGCTCTGAATGTGATCTCCTTTTACTCAGCCAGGAGAAATTGATTTCTTGGGTTCAACCAGGAAAATGGACCGTCGGCGGAGGGGGCAGAGAACGCGGGCTGTGGGCGAGGAGGGTTAAGTCGGAGCGAGAAAGGCCCCGGTCGCGGTAGGCCTGGGGTCAGGGCCGGATCACGTTCTGGGAGGGACTGGAAGGCCCACATCATTTTTGCTGTTGTTGCCAAAGTGTTTAAAGTCTAGGTCACATCCCTGTACTGTACATGGAAACATCTGAATCCCATTTGCTGCGGTTTAGTGAGTTTCTGTAGAGGTCAGAGTTTAGACTTCTCGGTGTAAAGTTTCCAGCGAGTAGCTAGCTATCTGCGGAGGAGACGGGGGTGGAAATCTGGATCGCATCGGTTTAAATCCCCACCGAGCGAGCAAGGGAGCAAGGGAGCGCGCTGGGCCCTGTACAGATGGCATCTGAGCCATGAGAGTTCATGTCAGTCCTCCAGGCTTTCGGGGCTGCCCTTCCCTCCGGCGCCATGTGAGGGCGCTGTGCTTTAGATAAAGGAACAGGGCCAACAGGCTGAGCTGGGCCCTGCCAGCGGCGGGTGGACCTCTTCGACCAGAGATTCTAAATTCCTGCCCGGCCGTCGCTTCTGTTGTTTAGTCTGCCCTGTTCCTCCCGTCCCTGTGAGCTGGATGCTGGGCCCTCCTTCCTGATGTGCACTCTGGCCGGAGGCAGGAGGGGACGGACAGCCTGAGGACTTGGAGGGGACAGTAGCCTGAGGACTTGGTTTGCAAGGTGGTCCGGACGCACGGAGAAGGGAAAGAAGTGGGGAGTAGGCTGACCAAGGGTGCATGGCGCCCCGCGCTTGAGACAGCCCAGGCGGGTGGGCACCTGACAGTCCCTCTTGACCGTGGTGGAAGCACTGGGAGGTGGAGACCTGGCGTGTGCATGTATGTGTGTACGTGTGCATGGCATGTGTCAGGACAAGGCGTGGGAGATGGGCAATGCCATGCAGATAAATCTTGGTGGCCATAGAACCAGGTAGAGCGGGGCTGGCCCACTTCATCTGTAAAAGGCCGAATAGCAACTATTTTAGGGATTGCGGGGCCCCATGGTCTCTGTTGCACCTACTCAGCGAGAAAGCAACCACAGAGGGTAAATAAACAAATGGAGAGTCAATAAAACTTTATGGGACGATGTTGAGTATCAAGGAAATGGTGCCACATCTAACGTCCCCGCAATGGCTCAGGGGGCAGGGGCGGGAGACGCAGGCCTGTTCTGCTGTGTGGACTCCTCCGTGCCGTCTGTCTCCTGTGCCGTTTTGTTGTTGTTGTTGTTAATCCTCACCCAAGGATATTTTTCCATTGATTCTTCGAGAGAGTGGAAGGGAGCGGGAGAGACAGAGAGAGGGAAACATCGCCGTGAGAGAGACACATTGACTGGTTGCCTCCTGCATGCGCCCCCACCAGGACTGGGGATAGAGCCTGCAACCGAGGTTCCTGCCCTGCCCTTGACCCGAATCGGGCCCAGGACCCTTCAGTCTGTGGGCCGACGCTCTACCCATTGAGCTAAACCGGCGAGGGGTACAGTGAGACTAGATCCTCCCTTCATTGTTTAGGGGCCTGAAGCGTAAACCTGCCCCCCACCTTCTGTGCTCGCCAGCGGGCACAGGTGTGGGCCTGTGGTGTCTCCTCTCTCTGCGTCTCATTTCGGAAGGCTGGGCAAGCCGTGTGCGCTGCTTGGAGCTGCCGAGACCCCCGGCTCAAGTCTTCGCTGTTTTCTGTTTATGCGGCTCCGCTGTATTTACATTTCCGAGAGTCCACGGAGGTGGCGTAAGGTTTTGGAAGCGTGTCTGTAGCTGTGTCATTTCAAAGCCATGACGTTCGCGCCTGGGAGGAAGGTATTTCCTGCCCCAAATAGTTGACGTCAGTTTGGACCCGCCGCCGCCCGTGAAGAGGACCAGATCGCGGGATGCCAACGGGGCCGGAACCCGGTTCAGCTTCCCGGGATTGGCAGCGGAGACGGAACTCCAAGGTTGGACTGAGTGTCTGTGCCGCTTGTGGGAAGAGAGGGGGGGACTGCTACCCCTGCCCGTGAGGACACAGTGGGAGGAGGGGGGGCCCTGCCTGCAGGGGCAGGCAGCCGAGCAGTGACCCTGCTGCTGCCGATGAACGCTGACAAACTGGATAGTCCACGCGTCAGGCTCTGTCCCCTCCTTCGTGGCCAAGGCTGGGCTGCCAGGGCCGTGCTGTGCTTGAGATGCTGGAACCAGCCCGGACACCCGGGAGCTCTGGGCTGCGGGAGGTTAAGAAGCTGGGCCCATGCCCTAGCGGGTGTGGCTCAGTGGCTAGAGCGTCGGCCTGCAGACTGAAGGGTCCAGGGTTCGATTCCGGTCAAGGGCATGTACCTTGGTTGCAGGCTCGATCCCCAGCTCTGGTCAGGGCACGAGCAGGAGGCAACCAATCGATGTGTCTCCCTCACATCGATGTGTCTCTCTCTCCCTATCTTTCCCCCACCCTCCCAGTCTCTCTCTCAAAAAAATCAGTGGGAAAATATCCTCGGGTGAGGATTAATAACAACAAACAAAAAGTTACCAGACTCCGGATTGCTTAGAAAATTGCCTGCTTTTTCATGCAACACCACATGGCCAAATAGAGCAGCAGCGGAAATTCGTCTTGGCAAAAACTCTATGGTGCGGGGACCATTTGGAAGGGAGCAAGTAGACCAAACTGCACGATCACACGCCGTGATATTGGTACAGGTGTCGGGAAGGGGCCTCGTCCCGGGTGACTCATTGATGAAGATTACTTACCTGCGGGCAGCATAAACATACTTGCAAGACGCAAAGCCCATTGTTGGAAGCTCCGTGAAAAGAGATAGTTGAGTGGCGGCGAAGGAACGGAAGAGGAAGGCAGAGGACAGTTTGTGGAATTTGGAAGGACGGAGGGACAGAAAGGGAAGAACTTGGACCAGAGAATCCAAAGCTTTCTCTGCAAAGACGCCCCCGTGGCCTTGAAGTGACCTTGTCCGCCCGCCACCGCTCCGGGGCGTCGGGCTGCCCGTGACCGTCACCCAGGGCACGTAATGAGATTCCCTCGTTTGAACTTTCGCTTTGTTGGCAACGTCTTGGAAAAGAAAACGGAGCTGGAGACGGGATGATGAACTGAAGGCATCGCAGACGGATCGCATTCTTGGAGTTCATTTCCTGAACTCTGAGCCGCTGCAGCTGGCCGACCTCGGATGTGTCCAGCGGGAGAGGTTTTTGCAGCCAGAGCCTCAGAGGGCCTCGCAGAGCCACCGGTTAACCTCTCCCTGCGCACGGATGCGCAGTCATGTTCTTGTTCTTTTTTTTAAAAAAAATATTTTTATTGATTTCAGAGAGGAAGGGAGAGGGAGAGAAGCATCAGTGATGAGAGAGAATTATGGACCGGCTGCCTCCTGCGCGCCCCCTACTGGGGATGGAGCCCGCAACCTGGGCATGCGCCCTGACCAGGAATCGAACCGTGACCTCCCGGTTCATGGGTCAATGCTCACCCACGGAGCCACGCCGGCCAAGGCACGTTCCTGTTCTTCAGGAAATGAGACTGCACGGCCGGCCGTCAGGGGCTGTGATCTGAGAGCGAGTCCCTTAGCTGCTCGTGGAGAGGCCGTGGGCGAAGCCTGTGCAATCATTGAGTGAGAGCTGGCCGCCAGGCCTGGGAGACACGTCTCTGCTCCTGCCCCACAGGCCGTTCCCAGGCCTTCCCAGTTATAAATCAGCCAGGCAGCCAGCATTGTTGACAGCAACCGGCTCACTGTCACACACCTGCCAAGCGCAGGCCGCTCTGGTCGGCTCCCATCCAGCCTCTGAGAGAGGGGGGGAGAGATGCCAGCCGTTCCTCAGAGGGTGGGCCAGGTTCGCCCAGGACAAAGGTGTGGTGGAGCCTGCAGGCAAGGATTGGGGCTGAAGGGGGTGGGTCTCGGGTTCTAAGACCGGGTGAAGGCCAGGCCCATCCCGAGATGAGGGCCCGTGAGTCGGCTGTGGGATCGGGATGGGAGGTGGTTATTCTAGGAGATGGTGGGAGCTGAGGGGAATGGACAGGTGTGTGGAGTAGGTGAGGCCGGGCCCTGGATGCCCACCCGAGGCATTTGGAATTCACCCAGGAGCCGTGGTTCTCATCCTGGCGCTGGCATCCGACTTCCCCCGGAAGACTTGTTCCCTGGTGGCGAGGCCCCAACCCGCCCGAGAGCTGGAATTCCTGGCAGGGTCCCAGGTGCTGCTGCTGGCCTGGGACCTCGTTTGGGGGATCGCTTGCCTGGGGCAAGGAGGAGCCTTTCTGGCTATTGGCGTGGGAGTCTCTGGTGATAGCAGTGGCGTGAGGGGACGCAGAGAAGGTAACAAGCCAGGATGTGGGACCCTCCAAAAAGACCTTATAAAGCAGCGGGGCAGGTGTGGCTCAATGGCTGAGCATCGACCTATGAACCAGGAGGTCACGGTTCGATTCATGGTCAGGGCATATGCCCGGGTTGCGGGCTCGATCCCCAGTAGGGGACTTGCAGAAGGCAGCCGGTCTGTGGATCTCTCTCTCTCCCTGTCCCTTCATCTCTGAAATCAATAAAAAAAATATATTTTTAAAAAAGAAAGACCTTCTAAAGCAAAACCTCCCCTCGGGGCTAGGCCGCGTGTTGGCACCCGTAGGATTTCTCACCGAGGTCAGATTCTCTCTGTATCAAGTTCCATTGGAACTACCTGCTCACGGGCCTTGTGAATGGAGAACCCGGGGAAGAACAGATCCGACCTGGCTTGGAAAGGGCTAGACCCCAGGCGACCTTTGACCTCCAGCCGCCTGAGCATTTCTGGAAGAGTCCATCCAGCCCCTTGTTAGAGTTGAGTGCCTCCTCCAGGGGGTGCAGGGCTCGTGCGGGCGGGACCCATCCCATGGCCCCTGCCGTACCTGCTTTCTGTACCTGTGGGCCCCCCGCAGCCCACCGCTGCCTCCCCCCGTCTGCTGCTCTGGTCTCCCCGAAGTACCTCCCGCTCGAGTTGCAACTTCAGGGGAGAGGCACGCAGGCCGTGCTTCCCTGCGGGTCACGCACCGCCAACTATAAGAGTTTTATTTGGGCCATAAAATCTCTGAGTTGTTCTTGGCAGACGTTCTAATGAATGAGAGACCTTGACATCTGCTCAGAGCCGTCCATATGGTCTCACCCTGTGCGTTGAGGACGGAAGGTTGTCGGCGATCGGGTGGGGCGATCCGATTGCCTTGCGGAAGGTGGAGGGGTCTGCTTCGCGAGGCCGGAGTGAGGTCCCAGCTCGAGACGTGGAGGAATCGCTGTGTGGTGGGGGGCGGCCGAGCGTCTCAGAGTGTCGTCCCCCCGATGGCAGTGGCAGTATCGCTTGGGGACCTGTCAGGTGGGCACGTTCTGGGTTCCACCCAGACGTTCAGGGGACTTTGGAGCTTGAGGCGCGCTAGTTTAGTGTGTCATTGCTTTTAGACAAAGGGGTGGGGCAGAGAGAAGGAAGGATCCTGGAGAAGGAGTGTGTCCCAATTCGGGGAACAGTTCTACACATCGTGTGTGTGTGTGTGAATTAATATTCAGTCTATTAAAGCAGCGGTTCTCAACCTGTGGGTCGCGTCCCCTTTGGCAGTCGAACGACCCTTTCACAGGGGCCGCCTAAGACCATCCTGCGTATCAGATATTTACATGATGATTCATAACAGTAGCGACATTACAGTTTTGAAGTAGCAACGAAAATAATTTTATGGTTGGGTCACAACAGGAGGAACTGTATTTAAAGGGCCAGAAGGTTGAGAACCACTGTATGAAAGCGACTGATGAAAAAATCCTAGTTCTTACATTTTTCATTCAATTTACAAAGCCTGTTTCATTGATCATCCAGCAACTCTTGGCAATCCCCTTTCTAGGGGGCTTTGAAGAATTTTGGGCCCCACTTACAAATTTGGTGATTAACAGCTTTTCTACCCTTCACACTGTGTTTAGAAATCTAACATATTCAGTTTCATTTTTAGGTTCTTTGTTTGGTTAAAAAACAAGCCCTCGGCCCTGGCTGGCATGGCTCAGTGGCCAGGGCATCGGCCTGTAGACGGAGGGGTCGCAGGTTCAATTCTGGTGAAGGGTACATGTGTGACCGATTCCGTCCTCTATTTAATTCTAAATATCCCCACGGGGGAGATCCATTTTCTCATTAAGGACAGAATTGTCATTCATTCCCAACACGTTTGGGGTCTCCTCCTCAGGTAAACTTTTGGGGATGGTTTTAAAAATTATTTTAAAAATCAAGTTTGGCCTGGCCAGTGTGGCTCAGTTGGTTGATTGTCATCCTGTGCACCAGAAGGTTGCTGGTTCGATTCCCGGTCAGGGCACATGCGGGCGTATGCGGGCGTGATCCCCAGTAGGGGGCGTGTAGGAGGCAGCCGATCAATGTTTGCTCTCACATAGATGTTTCTCTCTCTCTCTCTCTCTCTCTCTCTCTCTCCCTTCCCCTTCCTTTCTCTCTAAAAATCTTTTAAAAATCATATTTGTTTTTTTTCAAATTTGCTTATATTAATAAATACATATTTCATAGCACGCCTGGAAAATGGGTGCTGCTGCAATATTGCTTGGACCACCCACAGCTGCGGGTGGGATGCCTCAAGGCACACACAGGCTCCTCCGCGGGCTCCGGACGCTGGGCCACCTGCTAAGAGAAAGCCCAGTTGTGGGAACCAGGCCTTGCTGCCCCTGGGCTGCTGGGTCCCGGGCGAGTGTGAACGAGGGTGACCGACATCTGTGTTTTGTGTGTTTTTTCCGGGCAGGTCGGCCTCATCCAACTGGGGCAGGAACAGGTGCTCCTCCAGCCCCTCAACAGCTCCCGGGGCCCGCACGGCGGCCGAGAACACCTGCTCAGGCGCAAATGGTCCCTGGCACCCAGCCCCTCCGCCCAGGCCCAGGCCCCGGGCCCGCTCTGCCAGGTGCTAACAGGTGAGTCTGGAAGACGGGACGACCGACTCCCATTTGGCGCCATCGCACATCCCCTGACCCACCCCCCACGGTGTGTCCCCACCTGCAGCGGAGTCGCGTGAGCTGTGCCTCTCTTTGAGGGCGACTTGGTTATTTAGAAATGAGCCCTGCAGCTCCGCCCAGCCGTTTGGAGCCGTCCTGACCCTGCCAGGTGGTGGTCCCCCCCTTAGACTAGGAGGCACGGGAGCTGACCGCGCTGGGTCAAGGTCATCCCTGCCACCCCGGGGAGCTCCGAGTGGTGGACGAAGAGAGAATGCCACCAAGCATTAGGGCTTTGCTCTGATCCTTCCCACACGCTCACAAAAGCAGGGAGGCTGGACCTCAGGGTAAAATCACTGGAAACTACCAAGTACCATGATGTCCTAGGGCAGTGATGGCGAACCTATGACACGCGTGTCAGAGGTGACACGCGAACTCATTTTTGTGGTTGATTTTTCTTGGTTAAATGGCATTTAGATCTATAAAATAAATATCAAAAATATAAGTCTTTGTTTTACTCTGGTTGCACATATCAAAAAATGTCTATATGGGACACGGCACCAGAGTTAAGTGAGGGTTTTTCAAAATGCTGCCACGCCGAGCTCAAAAGGTTTGCCGTCACTGGCCTAGGGCAAGCCCGTTGAAACCTTTCCCCTCCCCTCAAACCCACACCGTCCACGGCTGGTCACGTTGCGCGTGGGATGCTGGGCCGCTGGCCCGCTGCCCTCCTCGGCAGGGGCGTGACGCGAGGATCGCTGACAAGACGATAAACTGCGCTGGCGTTTGCATTTCTGTCCCTGCGGTTGGAGTGGAGGCATCCTTTGGAGGATGTTCTGTTTAGCCTCCAACAAAGGAAATGAAACCATTCACAAAAGCAGGGCGGGGAGGATGTGCTGGAAACCAAGGCAAAACAAGAGCAGTCATGCAAAGGTGCAGAGAGCAATTCCTGAGGTGGCTTGGAAAATAACCTCCCCCACGTCTCACCTCCCTGGGCTCCGCCGTGCGTGCCGGAGAGACGGGCATATTGGAGGCCCTGCCCCGGGGGGAACGCAGACCAGGGAGAAAGGTGCATGTTTTGCTTTGGGTCCTTCTTCCTTTGCCCCGGGGTCTCGGTGAACTTGGTTGCTCCGTTGAGAAGGACAATGGCCGCTATTAATAGGCTTATCATCAGCATCGAACCTTGGGAGTTTAGCAACAGGGAACATTGATTTATTACTGAGGCGCCAGCGACTGGCATTGTTGGAGTTTCCCGGAAGGGTGAATCAGAGGGACCCAGCTTTTCCCACGGGAATGGGGTCTTCATGGCTGCACGTGGTGGCCAGGGATGTCCCTGGGCCTGGTCCTTAAGGCTGTGTTACCCCAGCCGGGACCATGGCGTGGGGGTGGCCAGCTGGCTCATGCCGGTGAGGGGGTCGGATAAGTCTTCCTCCTCCAGGAAGCACTGGATTGACCTGTGAGTAGGGGCAGGTAAGCCGCCATGCTCTCCAGGGGCAAAGAGGGGCTGATACAGTCAAGGCCAGCTGGAGGGAACCACTGAGCTTACATTTCTTTTTTTTTTTTAAAGATATTTTTACTAATTTCAGAGAGGAAGGGAGAGGGAGAGGGAGAGAGAGAGATAGAAACATCCATGATGAGAGAGAATCCTGCATCGGCTGCCTCCTGCACACTCCCTACTGGGGATCGAGCCCACAACCTGGGCACGTGCCCTGACCGGGAATTGAACCGTGACCTCCTGGTTTCTAGGTCGACGTTCAACCACTCAGCCACGCCGGCCGGGCTGAGCTTGCATTTCTCGCAGTCCTTGGGGCTCCCAGAGAGGAGACAGGCTGATCCTATTTCGGTTATAGCTCCTTATTTTTAGGGCCTTATAAACCGATTCATAAAATATCACTCCAGTTTGGAAGGTTGGGACTTGGCATGAGAATGTGGAGTCTGTGGGAGCCCTTTTCCCCCTTTGGGTGAGAGCGTGCGTTTCTGAAGGTTTTTTGGCCACTCTCAACAACTGAAATGGGACTTGGGCTCTTTGGAAATGTTTTTTGATTTTTTTTTTTTTTTACGTGGTTATTTTTAGTTGAAAACTCTCTGTCTTCTGTGGCTATTTTCATGTCTCCTTTCAGATCTGGGGTAGAGTCTTCATTTCGCATGGTCTCTCGCGAGCATCTGAATTCCGTCTCCTCCTGCTCCACCCTGGTAGATGGGACATGTCATGGGAGAGCCAGAGACTCAAATAATAAAACCACTTTATGCTACGAGGCACTATCACCATAGGACTCCTGCCCTGGCCTGTGACTCAGTGATTAGAGCAGTGGTTCTCAACCTTCTGGCCTTTTAAATACAGTTCCTCATGTTGTGACCCAAACATAAAATTATTTTCGTGGCTATTTCATAACTGTAATGTTGCTACTGTGATGAATCGTCATGTAAATATCTGATATGCAGGATGGTCTTAGGCGACCCCTGTGAAAGGGTTGCTCGACTGCCAAAGGGGTCGCGACCCACAGGTTGAGAACCGCTGGATTAGAGCGTCGGCCCGCGCACCAAAGGGTGGCAGGTTCGATTCCCGGTCAAGGGCACCTACCTGGGTTTCAGGTTTAACCCGAGTGTGGGAGGTAACCAGTCGAAGTCTCCCTCTCACATCGATGCTTCTCTCTCACATCAGTGTTTCTCTCTCTCTGTCTCTCCCCCTTCCCTTCCACTCTCCCTAAAAATCAATGGGAAAAATTGATTCCCATTGAATCCTCCCTCCGGCGAGGATTCACACACACACACCCCCGGACTCCTACATGTTTTGTGTGGTGGAGAGCTCATTAGAACACGTCCGACAAAGGTAACCTCAGAGGAAGGCATCACGGTCCTTAGCCATCTAAGTTCTGTCCTGATTGTTCTTGTTAAATACATGCAGCTATTTTGTAATATCGCCTGGTCCATGTATAGCATTAACAAGTGATTATAGTCAGTGTCTAGGAAATACAGTGACTGTTGAGAGATTGTATATTGCTGATTTACGCAAGAATTTGCGTGTGTGTGTGTGTGCGTGCGTGTGCGTGCGTGTGTGTGTGTGTACGCTGTCGTAAATAATCGGTTGGAGCTTGTGCTTTGTATCCATTAAGATTCATGTGGTTGGAAATGACAGAGATCAAACTGGCTTCAACACTGATGACATCCTGCCACGGGCTCACGGAACTGAGGCTGGCGCTCAGGGAAGGCTTGGCCAGACCGGGCTTCTTGGCAGCTGTTGGTTTTTTTGTGTTTTTTTTTTTTTTAATGTTTTTATTGATTTCAGAGAGGAAGGGAGAGGGAGGGGGAGAGAGAGAAGGAAGCATCAGTGATGAGAGAGAACCATGGATCGGCTGCCTCCAGCACGCCCCCCACTGGGTATCAAGCCCACAACCTGGGCACGTGCCCTGACCGGGAATCGAACCGTGACCTCCTGGTTCCTAGGTTGATGCTCAACCACGGAGCCACGCCGGCCGGGCTCCTATGGCACATATTTCATAACGATGTTTCCTCCAGAAGCCTGAGCGATCGCAGTCACTCCGTCGTAATCCTGTGTTTTTCCCCTTTCCGTTGTCTTTTGGGCGTATTCTCCGTGAGAACACAGAAAAAATCAGTCTAGGGCAAGCACCCTGGCCCTCTTCTGGAGTATTCCCATTGCTTGATTGAGAAAGAAAATCGAAAACTCAAGCGTGGAGACAGAAAGGAAAAGCACACCCAGCCCTGTGTGTGTGTGTGTGTGTGTGTGTGTGTAGTGTGTGTGTGTGAGAGAGAGAGAGAGAGAGAGAGAGAGAGAGAGAGAGAGAGAGAGAGACTGCCGTTCCCCCAAGCAGAGAAATTGGACGCGAACTGTGTTATCTTTTCCCAGTCCTCTCCTGGGCTGTTATGCAACACCATGCCCCCCTCCCTCCACCCCCTCAAATAACTCTAAGCAGAGCCGGCCTCCAGCTTCCACAGGAAAATCTCTCTCGGAGCTGCGGGCAGACGGGCCCAGAATGCAGTTGATGATTTCAAGTGCGCGCTGGCCGGGACCGTCCAGGTGGCTGGAGGAAGCTCCTGGCAGCCCGACCCGCCCTGAGGCAGGAGAGGAAGAGGAATCGTGGTCCCGGGAGGCACAGGCCAGGCCCCGGCCGGGTGGCCGAGGTGCTGACTTCGTGTTCCAGGGCCGGCGGGGGTGGAGCGCGGCCCCTGCCAATTCCCGCAGAAGCGTCTGATTTTTGAATCAGCGGCGGCCCCCTTCCCGCTCCCTCCGAGGGGGAGAGCTGGAGGGAATGAGGGCCTGGGCTGGGGAGCCTGCCCGCCTCCCTCCCAGCAGGAGGCCTACGGCCGGAGGGTCCGACACGCGGAGGAAGAGAAGGGAGCAGACACCCTGTTAGCAGTGAGACGCTTTGCTCTTTCTAAGCAATGCCTTTCGGGTTGCTTTTTTTTTCTTTCTCCACCACAAACGGTCTGGCTTGCTCAGTCCACTCATTTCTCATGGAAACGCCCAGGAGGGAAAAAAAAAAAAAGGCTCGTCAGGACATCTGCTGCCCAGTGTTCTTGGGCGGCCTCCAGCCAGGAAGGCAGTGGTTCGCCCTGCAGGCCTCCCTCCAGGGCAGCGGGCGATGTCTGCTGCCCGACCAGACGGGGAATTCGCTCGCCACGACGGGGATTGGGTTGCACACTCTGCCTTCAGCCCAGACCTTTCTCAGGCCATTAGCAAGTCATGGATCAGATCCCGCGTCTCGGGGGTTGGGTCAGAGCTAGACGGTGAACTAAAGCCCGCCCAATGGGGCAGGAATATCAGGCGTCACTGGTGGTCGGCAGGGATTGGAACCGCCTTCATGGTGGGAACCTGCTGGGAAGGGCCAAAGCCCCCCAGGTGGGGACACCGGGAGACCCCACCCAAACCCGCCATGGGCATCGTCGCCACACCCCTGCTCAGGGACACTCGGGTGGGGGAGGCGAAACGGGGCTTTGCTTCTTCCCAAGGAGACGCCGTTATTTATTGATTGTTATTATTATTTTAAAAGACATTTTTATTGATTTCAGAGAGCAAGGGAGAGTAGGAGAGAGAAGCATCAGTGATGAGAGAGAGAATCCTAGATCGGCTGCCTCTGGCACGCCCCCTACTGGGGATCGAGCCCGCCACCTGGGCCTGTGCCCTGACCGGAATCGAACCCTGACCTCCTGGTTCCTAGGTCGCCTGACATTCAACCATTGAGCCACGCCGGCCGGGCGAGACAGGTGTTATTTAGAGACAGAACTCAGAGGCCATAGCTCAGGAACTCTTAATGGAGCCTGGACTTGGCCTCCGGGGCCCTCGCAGACATAGCAAGTGGTTTTTTTTGTTTGTTTTTTAAATATATTTTATTGATATTTACAGAGAGGAAGGGAGAGGGATAGAGAGTTAGAAACATCAACGAGAGAGAAACATCGATCAGCTGCCTCCTGCACATCTCCCACTGGGGATGTGCCCGCAACCCAGGTACATGCCCTTGACCGGAATCGAACCCGGGACCTTTAAGTCCGCAGGACGACGCTCTATCCACTGAGCCAAACCGGTTTTGGCCATAGCAAGTGTTCTTGGTGCCAATGTTTAAAGAAGTACCACTTTCTCCCAGAAGAGAAACTCTAAGCCAGTGGTTCTCAACCTTCTGGCCCTTTAAATAAAGTTCCTCATGTTGTGACCCAACCATAACATTATTTTCGTGGCTACTTCATCACTGTCATGTTGCTACTGTGATGAATCGTCATGTAAATATCTGATATGCAGGATGGTCTGAGGCGACCCCTGTGAAAGGGTCGTTCGACGGCCAAAGGGGTCGCGACCCACAGGTTGAGAACCGCTGCTCTAAGGCATCCCCGCCAAGGCCGGATGCTGCTGCTTTTCCGACTGCTCTGCGGAGTCCTCTGACCTCCTGTGCCTGTCGGGGACCTCCTGGCTTTGACTCGGGGGCGCCTTTCCTTGCGCGGGGCTGACCGTGGGCAGGGGCCGGCCAAGCGTCTGGGTGTCAGGCCTGCTCTGCCCTGGGGGCAGGGGGTCCTCTGAGCCACATCTGGACGGCGGGTTGGTTCCCTTTGGGGCACGGCTTAACCACATTTCAGTGTTGAGTGTTTGGAGCCGCACTGGGGCCGAGGCCTCAATTAATTTCTGTCAGGGGCCTGCTTGGCTTGGCCTCTGAGTTTGAAAAACTGCCCTTTTCTGTATAGATGGCCGCTTCTCAGTGGTCTTGGCTGTTGTGGTGATGTGAGCGTTCGCCTTTCATACCCTCCAGGGAAATGCCTGCCCCCAAATCTCCCTCCATTTCCCTCCCTGGTGCCCTTCCCCTAATGAAGACGGAGGTTTTGCACTTGAATGTCGGCAGAAATAGCACGGGTGTTCTTTTTTAAATATATATTTTTAAAATATATTTTTATTGATCTCAGAGAGGAAGGGAGAGGAAGAGACAGAAACATCAATGATGACGAGAATCATGGATCGGCTGCCTCCTGCACGCCCCACACTGGGGATGGAGCCCACAACCTGGGCGTGTGCCCTCACCAGGAATTGAACCGTGACCTCCCGGTTCATAAGTCGATGCTCAACCACTGAGCCACGCTGGCCGGACTGCTTGCAGTATTTTATATACATGAGTTATCTAGCACTTAAACATTCGCGTACTGCCTTCTACTTTCAGTCCCAAAAACGGGAACATTATTTGTCACAGAACAAACTTAAACTTCTTTCCTCCTTAAAGACTTATTCTAACTTCAGTAAAGTTGCATTATCTGTTCTGAAAACAAATGTTGTGCATCGATAGCTAAAGGGTTCTCGGGGAAAGATTTCCATCCGTGCAGAGCAGCTTGCCAAATCTTTTGTGACTCCCCGTCGGTCAAAGCCACGCAGGCCACGAGCGTCAGAAAGACCGGCCGACCTTCGCTACAGAGAAGCCTGGTGCTTCTGTGACTGGCTATAGAAACTGCGAACTCCCACGAGGGAAGGTTCTGGTAACAAACAAAATGTAACCAGGAGTCAAAAACGATGTTGCTTGCGTCTGGCAGATACATCAGCCTGTTTTTCTGAAATGCTTTTATCCCTGGAAAGTTGTTGTGCATACCAAAAAAGGAAGGGTTTCTAGCCCAGACGGAACGCACGAGAGCAGCCTACCGTGTGCTTGACTGGACAAAGGCGTGCAAAACACAGAAAAGCGGACTACGCATAACTAGCTCCACTCCTTCCTAAAACGTGGGCTTCAAGTATGGTTACGTTTTGGGGGTGTTTTTTTTCCCCCCCTGGAAATTTATTTTTCCTTCCGTCGAGTCTCTATTGCTTTATGGAAATGAAATGGAGGATTTCTTCTTCTTCGATCTGCCCTGCTCAGAAATCTCTCTCGTTGGTCTGAGGTGGAGGTGGGAGGAGCAGATCAGCCGCCTTCCTACCTGGGACACGGGAGGAACCAGGGCCTGCTCATGGTGGGGCGGGCGTGGGAACGTCGGACCCGCAGGCCATATAAGGCCCGACAACTCATTTGGTCAGGCCCTGCCAAGGCATTAGGGGTGACTAATTTTTTTACAATATGTTTTTTATTGATTTCAGAGAGGAAGGAAGAGAGAGAGAGAGAAACATCGATGATGAGAGAGACTCATGGATCAGCTGCCTCCTGCAAGCCCCCTACAGGGAATGGAGCCTCTGCAACCTGGGCATGCGCCCTGACCGGGAATCGAACCGTGACCTCCTGGTTCATAGGTCGATACTCAGCCATTGAGCCACACTGGCCGGGCTAGCAGGCTAATTTTTCAGTGGCTCCTTTTGTATGGCCCACAAAGGATGTTATAAACGTTCAAATGGCTCTTGGCAGAAACAAGCTTCCCCACCCCTGGTCCAGATGGTCCCCTGTACTGGGGCAGTGCCTCGCACACAGTGCTTCTCAGTTAGTATTTGCTGGCTGAAGGGCTCTCTTTCCACCTCCCCCACAGGCAGCAGTGCCTGGCTGCTTGGTCCCTCTGTGGCCATGACCATGAGTGGGAAGGTCAGGTGGGGCCAGCTCAGCTTTGCTGCCCCTGGTCCTGCTAGTGCCAAGGGTGGGGTCTGAGTCATACCTCCTGCCTAGTGTGAGTGCTGATTTTTTAAAAACATTTTTATTGCCCTGGCCGGTTTGGCTCAATGGATAGAGCGTCGGTCTGCAGACTCAAGGGTCCCGGGTTCGATTCCGGTCAAGAGCATGTACCTTGTTTGCGGGCACAAACCCAGTGGGGGGCGTGCAGGAGGCAGCTGATCGGTGTTTCTGACTCTCTGTCCCTCTCCCTTCCTCTGTAAAAAATCAATAAAATATATTTAAAAAAATATTTTTATTGATTTCAGAGAGGAAGGGAGAAAGAAACATCAGTGATGAGAATCATTGATGGCAAGCGCTGATTTTGGACTTCAAGATTGATCGGTTCTTTATTTGGGATCTTAACTAGACAAAAAAAAAAACCACACAAAAAAACCCAAAAAAACAAAACAATCACAAAACTCTTATTTTGCACCTTTCTTTGTAAGGAATTTACATGCAAAAGATGCCTTTTATGAAAACGACTTGGCCTTGGGCAAAGTTATTTAAAGAATTCATCCTTGGAGAGCAAAACTTATTTTTTTTTTCCTTTTTGAAAAAAAAGAAAAAGAGAAGAGAAGGCCGTTCTCTCTCAAGGATGCAGGGTTTCTGCAGCTGCCGGAAAGTTCCCCTGGCTGGGAGCTCTTCCCAACACGTGGAGCCACCGTTTCCAGGCGAAAACAGGGTGTTTTTCTACAAACTGACCCTTTGCTTTGGCTGAAGGGAAAAACAGTGATCAGAGAAGAATTTGGGAGGCCTGAGAACTTTATGTAAGTCTGTGTGTGTGTGCAAACTTCAACCCGCCACCTAGAGCCCGGCCGGTGTGGCTCAGCGTCTACTCATCCAGGCAGTGAAACTGATGACCTAGCAACGTCCATCTCTGTTGTTCAGCGAAGGCAGGCGACCTGGATGTGACACAGGAATACACCGTTTCCAGGCAGGGGACAGCTTTTAGATCATCTCGGGCCTGGCCTGCGTGGCTCAGTGGTTGAGATCCACCTAGGAACCGGGAGGTTACCAGTTCGATTCCCGGTCAGGGCACATGACTGGGTTGTGAGCTCAGTCCCCAGTAGGGGGCATGCAGGGGGCAGCCCATCGATGATGCTCTCTCATCACTGATATTTCTCTCTCTCTCTTCCTCTCTGAAATCAATAAAAACATATTAAAAAAAAAAAAAAAGCCTGGCTAGATCCGCATCACTGACTTCGCTAGGCCCCCTCCCACACCGGTGAGCGGGCCTGGCTCCCCTGTGACTGTGCAGACCCCTCACTGGCCGGTGGAGCGTGTCCTTTCTCGCAGGGAGGCTCCGTGGAGGCCTGCTCCGTGCTCGGGATTGGGAATCGCGCCGCCACCAAGGACTGCACTCACGCCTTCCTTGTTTTCTAGAAAAGAAGAAGCCGGGGAAGGGCGGGCCGTCGCCGGACTGGCGGGAGCGGAGGAGCGCCATCCGGCTCACCAACGAGCACACAGTGGAGACCCTGGTGGTGGCCGACGCCGACATGGTGCAGTACCACGGGGCCGAGGCCGCCCAGAGGTTCATCCTCACTGTCATGAACATGGTGAGTCCTGGTGGGTCCCCAACCAGGCAGCCTGCATCCTCATCTCCTCCGTTCAGAGGGAGGCAGGCCCACACAGCCTGTGATCCCTGGGGGGCTGGCGGGTGTGCCCATGGTGGATGGCGCTGTTTGACCGCCTGGGTCTGCATGGTGAGGGGGCCCTGCCCACCACTCCTTTTGGAAGCCATCCAGGACCCTTGCTGTGTGGGGGACCCATCCCCTGGGATTAAGAGCCCAGTGAGCCCTGTCCCTGCACTCCCTGCTCTGAGGAGTCCAGTCTAGTAGGAGGAATCGAGATCAAAATTTAATGCAAAACAGATCCTGCCCAGCTGGTGTGGCTCAGTGGTTGAGCATCGACCTACGAACCAGGAGGTCACGGTTCGATTCCCTGTCAGGGCACATGCCCAGGTTGCAGGCTCCATCCCCAGTAAGGGATGTGCAGGAGGCAGCCGATCCATGATTCTGTCTCATCACTGATGTTTCTCTCTCTCTCCCTCTCCCTTCCTCTCTGAAATCAACACAAATATGTTAAACAACAGCAACAGCTACAAAAACAACAAAAACAGGTCCTGCTGTGCGCAGCGAAGCCTGGCTGGAAGCCGGGGTCCTCCGATGCGTGGAGTCTCCCTGTCTGTGTTGCCTTTTGTGTCTGGACCCTGGGGTCGCTCCCACCTTCAGGCGGTTGTGGAGGAGGCTGCGGTGAACGTGGGCGTGCAGATAACCCGCCTGAGCCCCTGCCGCCGTTTCCTTTTAGGGATTTGCCCAGCGGTGGGATCGCTTTTGCTAACTCCTCGTGCTGCGCGGCCCTGGTTTCTGAGAAGGGTTCTGTCTTTCCTGTGCCGAAACCTGGTCGCCCTGGTGGCTGGGTAATGACCGGTTGTGGCCTCTAGTCCCCCCAGAGGAAGCCCAGACAGCGGGCTGGGGGCCTGGCCCCGCTCCCGACTCCTCCATCTGCAGATAATTTCATCTCATTTATTTCTTCTTAAATTGTCTGGGTCACGAATGCAAGGAATAAACCTTCATTACAACAACGGAAGTAGGCATAAGACAAAGCTCCTATTTTTATGTTTCTTTTATAATTTTTCTTTTTTAAAAAAAAAATATATTTATTGATTTCAGAGAGGAAGGGACAGGGAGAGAAATAGAAACATCAATGATCGGCTGCCTCCTGCATGTCCCCCACTGGGGATCGAACCTGCAACCCCGGGCATGTGCCCCGACCGGGAATCGAACCTCCACCTCCTGGTTCCTAGGTCGATGCTCAACCACTGAGCCAAGCTGCCGGGCCTGCTTTGTGTTTTAAAAGATCCCTCCGCCTGGCTCTTATCCAGGGACCTGCTCTGAGCTCTGTGTCCCCAACAAACCATCACCTGCCCAGGCCCACGCAGAGGGGAAGCCTCTTGCCAGCCATCCTGGGGGTCCCCCAGCGGGAAGCGCAGAGAGAGGGGGTGCTGTGTCCCCGGCTTTCGGCTTCCCACGGTTTTCCAAATGTTGCCTAGTGTCTTTTTCCACACGTAACTTGCTTTTCCTGCGGTTGGGGCGGGGCGCGGTGACACAGGAGCAGGGATATTCTAAAGAACAAATCTTAGCCGGGGCCGGAGAGCCGACAGCAGCAGGCCTGGGTCTGGGCAGCCCCGTTGGAAAATGGGCCCCTGGACAGAGCGTCAGTTGTTCTCAGCTTCCTTAACAACCACCGGCAGAGTGAGACGCCGACGCGTTCCAGGCAGGTTCCGCGCGGAGGGAAAATGACATCAATTTTACTCAGTGACCAGGCGGAATGGATAAGCGGCCTCTCTCTGGCAACCAGAGAGGTCAGCGTGGTGTGTGAGTACCCCTGGTCCTCATACCCTGCGGCCTCCCGGAGGGGAGGGGGTGCTTGTTAAATGCAGCCGGCGGGGCCCAGCCCAGGGTCTCAAGCCATAGGCCTGGCCCGGGCTCCAAGTCCCCAGGTGATGCTGGGGCTGCTGCTCCAGGGACCCCACAAGAGGTGCTGTGGGAGGAAACACCCCCTCCTGTTTGGGGTCCGAATGGCGCCGTAATTGCAGAGTGTCACTCTCAGTCCCCAGATGCCCCTGGGGAGGCCCTGATTCACACAGGTAGGGGGTGCTGTTGTGAAAACCCCTCTTGGGTCCGGCCGGTGTAGCTCAGTGGTTGAGCGTCGACCTGTGAACCAGGAGGTCACGGTTCGATTCCCGGTCAGGGCACATGCCCGGGTTACAGGCTCGATGCCCAGTAGGGGGGTGTGCAGGAGGCAGCCGATCCATGATTCTCTCTCATCATTGATATTTCTCTCTCTCTCTCTCTGCCTCTCCCTTTCTCTCTGAAATCAATAAAAAACGTATGTTTAAAAATCAGGTCTGTAGGCAGACATTTCCCCTCAGCGTGCCCCGTCCAGGAGAGCAGGTGTGGGAGCCCGACCACAGCTAATGTGCCTGCCCCCTGGCGGGAGCTGCCCACGTTCCCACAGGCCCAGCAGAGTCCAGGGCCGACGCACAGGCCCGTCCTGGCAGCCGGTCCGCCAGACGGAAATCGGACAACAGCCACCACACACAAAGCAGCGGGCCGCGGAGACATGGAACCGAGTCTCCCGGCTGTTTTTTCCCATGGAAATTCCTGCTCAGGACAAGTCTGGAGGCAGCGTCCATGCGATGTTTGGAGAGACACCTGGCCGGGCAGGGAACAGCGCGCCCGGCGTCTGGAAATTCTGTCTCGGGCGCCCAACGCCGGCTGCGCCCTGGCGAGTGGTCAGAGCCCGGCTGCAGCTGCCACATTGCCTTGGCAGCCTGGGGGGGCCCAGCTGGGCGACGTGGGGACACGGCCAGGGAGGGGCAGACGGGGACGGAGAAGCAGCAGGTGACAGGGGCCCCTGGGGAGGAGCTGTTCACTGGCCTAGAGGGTTTTTTTTTTTTTTTAAATATTTTTTTCTTGATTTCAGAGAGGAAGGGAGAGGGGGAGAGAGAGAGAGAGAAACATCAATGATGAGAGAGAATCATGGATGGGCTGCCTCCTGCAAGCCCCCTACTGGGGGTCAAGCCTGAAACCCGGGCATGTGCCCTGACCGGGAATCAATCATTACCTCCTGGTTCATTAGGTCGAAGGTCAATCACTGAGCAACACCAGCTGGACTAACCATTAACTTTTAATTAATATATTTTTTAATTAATAGAACTTATACTTTATGATGGATAAATACATGAATTTATAGTTTATTCATTTACATTTTATGTTTTAGTTTTATAGAATAATTGAACGCATAGAGGGTTCCCATAACGTTTCACCGGTTACTAACTTCTAACAACGTACTAATGCGTTGGTTATAACTAAAGGATCAATATGGGTCCCATTATTCACTAGAGTCCATCGTTGGCTCTGATTTCCATGGTTTTTACCTAATAGCTCTTCTCTGTTCTAGGATCCCATCCGGGATACCATGATATTTTTAAAAAAATGCTTAGATTGACCTCTTTCTTTCCTTTTCTCTCTGGATAGGTTTACAATATGTTCCAGCACCAGACCCTGGGGATCAAGGTGAACATCCAGGTCACCAAGCTCGTGCTGCTGCGACAGCGCCCTGTGAGTCCCTGAGCGCCGCACACAGGGAATGTCCCGGGTCTGGCAGCTCCGTAGGAGCCCAGGGGGTTGTCTGGCTCATCCAGACTCCCGGGCTCTGCAGGTGGCATCAGTGTGCCCGGGGCCAGGGACCCGGATGTCCGGGGAGAGGAGGACACATGCCGTTCCTGGAAGCTGGGGGTGCAGCCGTCCGCTTAGAATCTTGAGGACACCCTGAGCAGGGGCCTGAGCGCCCCCCTCCTCCGCCCGGCACGTCTCAGCAGAGCAGACCGTGGTGGCGGCGAGGTCTCTGGCACCACGGCCGCCCTCCTGTCGCTCTCCCTGAGCTTCAGCACGTATTTGGAGTCACCGTGGCATCGCCCTCGGGTGTTTTGGTCGAGTGCTTCCCTGGGACACTCCCACGGCCAGGCAGGGAGGGTGACGGGGAGGGGCCGATGCTTGGTGGGCGCATGCCGTTCAGTTTACCGAAAAGAGCACTTGTCCTTTTTTTATTTTTAACATATTTTTATTGATCTCAGAGATCAATGTCTTTTATTGGTTTTGAGAGAAAGAGGAAGGGAGAGGGGTAGGGAGAGAGAAGCATCGATGAGAGAGGAACATCGCCGATCGGCTGCCTCTTGCACGCCCCCTGCTGTGGATTGAGCCTGAAACCTGGGCATGTGCCCTGACCAGGAATTGAACTGGCAACCTCTTGGTTCCTGGGGTGACTGATGCTCTACCACTGAGCCACACCAGTCGGACAAAGAACACTTTTCTTTAATAACATAGTCTGGCCCTGGCCGGTGGATAGAGCGTCGGCCTGCAGACTGAAGGGCCCCGGGTTTGATTTCGGTCAAGAGCACGTACCTCGGTGGCAGGCCCGATCCCCGGCCCTGGTTGGGGCACGTGTGGGAGGCACCCAATCGATGTGTGTCTCTCACATCGACGTTTCTCTCTCTGTCTCTCCCCCTCCCTCCCACTCTCCTAAAAATCAGTGGAAAAATATCTTCAGGGGAGGATTAACCAAAAATAAACAGCATAGTCTCCATCTGAACGTATACGTAGACCCACAGTGGCCTCTACCTGCGTCTCTGCGTCCACCCCCAGCGTTAGGTTTGTATTCGGGGAAGCGTGTCCAGAACGACGACCCAGCAGGCAGCTGTGTCCGCCTCACACTGTAGTCTGAGCACCAATGCTGGCTTCCCTGGGGCCTTGGCTTCTCTCAATGTCCCCCCACCCCCCGATTTCTTCCAGGCCAAGCTGTCCATTGGCCACCACGGAGAGCGGTCCCTGGAGAGCTTCTGCCACTGGCAGAACGAGGAGTACGGAGGCGCCCGGTACCTCGGCAACAACCAGGTGCCCGGAGGCAAGGACGACACGCCCCCCGTGGATGCCGCCGTGTTCGTGACCAGGTAACATGGGCGGCCTGCACCCCCAAACGTGCTTGGGGGAAGCCGTTTCCCGTGGGAGAGGGAAGAGGGCCGTTGGCTAGGAATTCAGGCTTGGCCATCGGACCGTTGGCCACCTGTGCGAGCCTGTTTCCTCGTCCGGGCAGTGGGCATCAAAGCAAAAATGTGGAAGCCACCCCGTGGCCATGAGTGGGTGAGCGGATACACAGAAGGTGTCTCTCTCACGTCGATGTTTCTCTCTTTCTCTCCCCCTCCCCTCCACTCTCTCCAAAAATCAATGGAAAATATCCTTGGGTTGAAGAGTAACAAAACAAGAAAAAAAAATGGTGCAGATGCTGAATTTCGTGTTCGATGTGTTCAACCACAAGTAAACCTGCTTAAGAATGTCCTTTCCACCTGAGCACATTCTGGGGTGCCGATTGCACGCGGGGGGTTCTGAGTGGGGGTGCTGGGGAAGGAGGAGACTGGAGGTCAGAAAAGCAAGATTTCTTTTTCTTTTTCATAATCTTTACCTGAGGATATTTTTCCATTGATTTTTAGAGGCTGTGGAAGGGCACACGGGGAGTGGGGGGCAGAGAGAGAGAGAAACATCGATGTGAGAGAGACACATCGATTGGTTGCCTCCCGCACACACCCTGACTGGGGCTGGGGATCAAACCTGCAGCCCAGGTACGTGCCCTTGACCGGGAATCGAACCCAATACCCTTCGGCGTGCAGGCTGTCACTCTAACCACTGAGCCACCGGCCAGGGCAAGTTTTCTTCAGCCGCAGGCAGGGCCCGCCGAGGCCCGCCGAGGGCTCTGACCTGCAGCCAGCCCAGGGCCGGCCTTCTCCTTCTCCCTTTGGTGCTGGCACCTCCTGAGCTACCCACGCCGCCCACTGCTGCGGGGCTGCTGGGCCTGCAGGACTGGTGTCTGCCCGCCCCGTCAAGTCCTCCATGCCCTCGCAGATGTGAAATTAAAGACCTCCCAGCAGCCGGGGGAGGCGGTGTGAGAGTGGGGGCGGCCGCCAACTTGGCCGAGAGGCATTGTTTAATAATTAGAGGCTGAGAGCTGCAATTCCCCCGGTTGGATAATAACAGGCTGATGTTTTCGCACGGAAATTGGGTGTGAGGCCGCTGCTGCGCCGGGAAGCTGCTCCTTCCTCCCAGAGTGATCCGGCCCAGGGCCACGCAGCCCCGCGTCCTGGGCCCCAGGCGAGGTTTCTTCTCTTTTGTGTCCCCCCTCCCTGTCCCTCATGGGCTGAGCCCGAGCCGTGTATTTCCCTGGACGCCCACCAAACCTGCAGACAGCCAGCCGCGGGGAAGGGAGCACAAATGAAGTCATGGCCAGCAGGAGCCACTGAGCAGGAGCGGCGGGAGCTGGGTTGTCAGCAGCTGCGGCCAGGGCTGGGCGCCAGAGCACCCCCGAGGGGACCGAGTCGGGGGCTGGGACAGAGGACTGGGACCCAGGCGTCCACTCCTCACCCGGCGTTACCTGTGACTCTGTCTCCCCCCCACGCCCCGAGCCCTCCGTCCCCCCAAGAGCAGCCAGAGGCTAGGATGAGTCTCTGTAGCTGCAGGATGGGGATGGGGTCAGGTTTTGAGTAGCTTCACTCTTTCTCTTTTCCACCACCACATACCTGGGGGGACCAGGGAGCTTTAAAGAAATATATTCAGGAATGGCTTTGGCCGACGTGGCTCAGGGGTTGAGCATCGACCTATGAACCAGGAGGTCACGGTTCAATTCCCAGTCAAGGGCACATGGGTTTCAGGCTCGATCCCCAGTAGGGGGCGTGCAGGAGGCAGCCGATCCATGATTCTCTCCCATCATTGATGTTTCCATGTCTCTCTCTCTCTCCCTTCCTCTTTGAAATAAAAAAAAGAGATACATTTAAGAAAAGGAATGGCTTCGGGGCTGCCTTCTGGTTTCAGCATCTAAACCCCGAGGCTGCCCAAGCAGAGTCGCTTGGGGAAGTCACTGTAGGTTGAGCATATTGACCAGTAATTGTTTCTGACCCGTGACTTGGCACGCGTTTTCTCCCCAAATGCTTTCAGCTGTTGGAAGGGGGCCCTCCAGCCACCGAGTGTTCGGTGTGGACGAGTTTAGCGGGAAAAGGGGGGTCCTGGGTGGGTAGGTGGGGGTTGCACTGGGAAATGCAGATGGGCTGCTATGGGCAAGCCCTGCTGTTCATAACCCTTCATCGTCTCCCGTGACAAGTAGAGCAGTGACGTCGCGATGGGCGGGATGACTCTCAGCGTGGAAGTGTGTGCTCCCCCCCTTCCCCTCCTCCCCCCCGGTTCTGCATGCACCTGACTGCTGTTCCGTTTTCTTTGTAGGACAGATTTCTGCGTGCACAAAGACGAACCGTGCGACACCGTCGGTAAGTTTCGAGTTAAAATAATATTCGAAGGGGCCGCTACATCCCCTTCGATACTTCGTGCCTTTTCCATCGCCTCTTTGCTTGTAGAAATGGATCATTTGACTTTATTCTGCTTATTTTTCCAGAAAAGTGTTGACAGTTCTTACAGCAGGAGGCGTCCAGACAGGGTTAATAAGGAAGATAGGAAATGTTAAGCTGGGGGAGGGACCACGGGGGGACCCCGAGGTGACTGTGTTTGGGGCGCATTTGTCTCTGAGCCTCTCGGCCACCAGTGCCGGAGTCGGGGTGACCCCCCTGAGTTAACGCGATTGTCATGAGACAGAGCTTACTGGTTTGTTCTCGTGCCCACGGGTGGTTTCCCCGTGCGTCCTGGGTGAGGTGTGACCGGGGTGAGCCCCGGCAGCAGCAGGCTTTGCTTTCCGGTCAAATAGCAATGCTACCACCAGCCCTTGCTGCTGGACAAACACATTTTCCTTCCCCTCCCTCCCTCCTCTTCCTTCCCCTTCTGCACCCCCCCCTCGCTCCCCACCCCCGCCATTTCCTCTCTCCCCTCCCCAGGTGTACCTGGCTGCTCGTAGCCTTCAGATTGACCCATTCTTTGGGCATCGGAATAGACTGCGAGGTTCACAGGGGCCCCTAGAGGGGTTTCAGTGAGGTCAGCGATCGCCCAAACCTCTGTTCCTGAGGAGGTCACAGTACGGCGCCGCCGAGTGCGAACTGCTGAACCTGCTGTGCTTAGCATTGTAGGAACGCGGGCTAGGCCTGGGCAGTGTATGCCCTGGAATTCACATGTTCAAAACCCGGGCTTCCCTTGGAGTCCTCGTCGCATCTCATCTCCATCCCTCTCTCTGGCTTTGCCGCGTACAAGCCAGAGATTTTGGTTAAATCGTCATAATCCTTGCCCTGGCAGGTTTGGCTCAGTGGTCCATAATGAGACTTTTCAGTGTGACATCGGTCTTGATAGAGGGACCGCTGACACCCGTCTCAGTCTGGCTGTGGCTGTCGGTGACCAGCCCATGCTGACCTCTGTCCGCTGACAGGGCTGCCCAGGCGGGGGCTGTCCTTCCCGTGTCCACGACTCAGCGTGGACGGCCACCGCTCCTCCGTCTCTGCTCCACCCTCCTGCTCACAGAGCTTGTCCCCATGGAGGCCCCGGTGCCTCATGTGCCTCAGAGGACTCTGCACTGCACAGGCACGGGCTTTACCCGTGTGTCGTGTCCCTCAGCGCCTGGCCCAGGGCTTGGAAGACTTAGTCCCCACTGCTGATGAATGAATGATGACTGGATGAGTGAGTGAATGAATGAATGATTGAATGAATGAATGACTCAATAGGAATGAATGATTGATGGAATGGATGAGAGAATGATTCAATGACTAGGAATGAATGAATGATTGAATTGTTGAATGAATGAGTGAATGAGTGAATGAATAGAAATGAGTGATTGAATGAATGAGTGAATGAATGAATGAATGAATGAATGCATGAATGAATATGCAGGAACTCCAGTGTGTCCAACCAGCATGCATCTGGTTGTATGGTTTTCTCTTGTATGACTTAGAGCTGGCTTTTGTTTATTCTCTTCTGAGTACATAACCCTCATCTCTGCCCTGAGCTGTGAGGATGTGCTGTATTCCAGTTGGCGGAGAAACCCCCCGAGTCCCACGTCCTCCCGTCCCCCTACCCCATCCGCCCTGAGAAGCTTCTCTGTCCTCTCTCATTGGGCCTGTTGGACCGTCCAGTTCTCCGAAGGGCGCAGTCTGTCCAACCCGCGGCCCTTTCCCGTTTCCCACAGTATTCCACTGTCGATTCCATGAAAACGATTAGTGTTTTTGGTGTGGTTTTTCTTTTCTTTCTATTTTTTTGCAGGGGGAAATGCCAATTCCACTTAATACTTCTTCCTCCAAGCTCCCACTGCCTTTTTCTAGTTCGGTTTCATACTCTTCCAATATTTTCTATTGTCTCCTGTCTCCTGGACCCCATGGTTACAAAATCAAACAGGACCCAACAGCTGTGCGTGGGCCGTGCCAGGGGGGCTGGGGAGCGCCACGGCCCTCTCCTCTCCACCTTGGCCGAGCCACTGATTAAATGGAAGGGTTCCCGGAGCCACAGGGCGAGGGGACCGGTGGGGGCCCCTGGGGCCGGCCTCACGGGCCGGTTGCAGCATTTCTCCTGCCATCGAGCGCCAGCTGCCAAGATAAACATACATTTGGAGATCAAGTGGGAACCCCCAGAGGTTTTCATCTTGGAAAAATAAATCTGGAAGTGTCGGGCCAAGAAGCCCTTTGTGTCCACACCCGGATCTGCTCAGCCTGCGTGCGAACGTCGGAGGGAGTGGAGAAGGCAAGGATGTTGGCAAGGGCGCCGGGGATGCTGGCGCAGTTCCTCCCCAGTGTGTGCCCTCGGGCCTGTCCCCTTTACCTCCTGTCTGCGGCATCGTGGCCCGACCCCCGCGTGCCTGCGGTGAGGTCAGGATGAAGTGCGCACACAAGCACATGGACAGCGTGTGGCACAGCGCCCACCGCCGTGGGAAACGGTGGCTGTGATTTTTATTAGCCGTTTCCCGAAGCTGACCGCCCTTTGCAGGGTCTTAGTTTCAGAAGGTACCTGGTACTTCCAATCAATCAGCAATTCTTGCCCCCTCTACCTTCAGAATACAGTTGACCCCTTTTTTTAAAAAAAAAAAAAATTTATTTCAGAGAGGAACGAAGGGGGTGGGGGCAGAGAGGAACATCATTGATGAGAGATACTCATGGATCGGCTGCGTCCTGCACACCCCTCACTGGGGATCGAGCCCGCAATCAGGCATGTGCCCTGACCAGGAATCGAACTGTGATCTCTGGGTTCATAGGTCAACGCTCAACCACTGAGCCATGCTGGCTGGGCCAGTGGATCCTTTTTTAAATAAATACATTTTTATTGATTTCTCATCATTGATGTTTCTCTCTCTCTCCCTCTCCCCTACTCTCTAAAATCAATAAAAGTATATTTATTAAAAAAAAAACTTAGGAGAAAGCAGAAAAAGAAGACCCTTTGAGACAAGATTTAGGGAGTTCAGGAACACCAGGCACCTGAGCAGCCAAACTATGATCCAGACGCCTCCTTCCCTGAGAAAGCCCCGGACATGCTGGGAAATGACTCATCCTGTGACCTCAGCTCCGGTGCAGGCCATCTGATCCTAAGGAAGAGATCAGCCAGGAAGCCTGTAGAAAGGTGTGGTTGGGCTGCACATGGTCCCGGTCAGCAACGGCCCGGTCCCCGCCTCCAGGCCCTGCCAGGCCAGCGGACGAGGGTGCCAGCCACTCCTGTACGCCCGTGTCCAGTTTCCGCGCAATTCCAGTGGCGGGCGGATGGAGTCGGGAGCCAAGGCGCCCCGGGAAATGCCTCTGATGGAATGAGAAGACCCAGACACTTGGACGGAGGGTCCCTGGCAAGAGGCCTTCCACCGGCCGCTCCATTAAACTTTTCATTGGCTTGTCTGAGGGTAAGCAGCTGTGCCCTTGGGATTGGACGGTCTTCGCTACGAGGCCCGAGGTCAGGAACACAGCGCTGGACCAGTGAGGCACGCCGTCCTGAGACACGGAGCCACGTGAATCCCTGAGGGAAGTGCTGATCTTGAAGATGGCCTCCGATCCTCCCTCCCTCCCCTCAGAAGTGTGGGCTCGCACCTGCGCTCCAACAGGGAGGTTTTCCGCCTGCAAAATGCCTCCTGGTGCCAACGTTGCTTTCCATTCGGGGGTGGGGATGGGGAAGGGGCTGCCTTCTAAGACCTACCTTGTCAGTTCCTCCTCCTCCTCTTTCTCCTCCTCCTCCTCCTCCCCACAGACCATTCTCGTTCCCTCGCTGCTGCAAGACAAAGGGAAGGCTTCCTAAGTGGGTCACCAGGCAGAGTCCGAGCACCTGTGTTTCATGGGGGTCAGGAAACACAAGATATGTTCCCTCGTGTGTGTGTGTGTGTGTGTGTGTGTGTGTGTGTGTGTGTATTAAGATTTTTTGTTTGTCCTGGCAGTGGTTGACCGTTGACCTATGAACCAGGAGGTCACTGGTTCGATTCCCGGTCAGGGCACATGCCCAGTTGCGGGCTTGATCCCCTGTAGGGCGTGTGCAGGAGGCAGCCGATCAGTGATTCTCTTTCATCATTGATGTTTCTATCTCCCTCTCCCTTCCTCCCGCTCTCAAATCAATAAAAACTTACTTAAAAATAAAAGGAAAGTGAGTGCCCAAGGCAGCCAGTGCGGACAAAGAGCTTTCTGTGTCCTCCTGTGGCCGCTCCGGAACATGTGAGTCCAGGAGAAGGTTCAGGCAGGTCAGAGGGGACCCCGGGAAAACAGCGCCCTTTCCCCGCCTTTGCACTTGGGGTGAAGGGCGGGGACCGGGGAAGAAAGACGTTTTTGCCTCTGCACAATGGCGAGCGTTCTCTCTCCCAGATCGCATCCCGCTGAGTCCCCTCCTTGGAATGTGTGACGGCGGAGTAATTTGTGGCAGAGGAACCATGTCTGTGTTTCAACTTGTTCTTTTTTTTTTTTTTCCAAACTTTATTTTATCTTTTTAGAGAAGGGAGAGGGAGAGAAAGATAGAAACATCAGTGATGAGAGAGAATCATGGATCAGCTGCCTCCTGCACCCCTCCCCCACCCCCCACTAGGGATGGAGCCCGCCACCCGGGCATGTGTCCTGACAGGGAATCAAACCCTGACATCCTGGTTCCTAGGTCGACGCTCAACCACTGAGCCACACCGGCCTGGGCAGAATTGATTTTCGTTGTGCTGGGGTGTCTCCCATAATTGTCCTCTCTCACCTCTTCCCGAAGGTGAACCCTCCGTCACGGTCACTAATGATAGTTCCACACATCCCCTTGGGTGGACAAACACTGCCCTCCCAGAAGGGGCAGGCCACGGGTGGTCTTGCTCTGGGATGGCCACGGGCACGAGTGCTGGGACCCCAGCCGCCCGCTCGGTGTGGGGAGGCTCAGAGGCCGCCCAGGTGCGCACGTCGCCCCCACC